TGAGGGCTTTGAGCGCAAGGATTATACGGCTTTCTTTTGGAAGAGATTCCATGTTGTATTGTGGAAGAAAACAGGTGATGAAGTTACGAAGTTGTAGAAGGGGAGAAAGTGGGCCACTCGCTATGCTGGACCGCTCGCTATGCAAGTACGTTAAGTAACAGAGGTAACGTAGTTTGAAGACGGCCGCAGAGAAAGACGCAAAACGGCGGGCTAGCAGACTCTGCAGACTCTTCCTGGATTATTAGGTACATGAATATATTCACCGAACTGCATATCGATTTCAAGGCAATGAATGACAAGATGAAGATGGACAATAGTCGTTTGTGAATATGTAACAACGCAGGTACTTGGTGCATGGTGGTATGGTTCTCAAGAAACAACGAAACATCGACTGGAACTTGACTCAGGGGAAACTTGAATTCCAGGTTGTATGCACGGGGCTTCTTGCCCCCTGGAGGTCGAAACCTTTGGGGAAGGCACGAACTTCTTTGGCTGACATTCTAGGCGACAATGACGATGAACAGATGCTGGCTGGTTCCCTAACATGGTCGTACCTACCCTAATACCCTATAAGTCATTTCTCTCTTCCTACTTCCACCCCCCTCAGGTTAGAGTGATGCTCAGTGTCCGCTTCACTACTGCCCCATCTTCCGGGAAGTCGCAAGTTCGAGTCCGCTCAATGCCAACATTCTCCAGACACTCTAACAGGACAGTGCTAGCAGCAGAAGCCACAACAGCAGATTTCCCAAGGTACCTCTTCGCCATGACGGGGGAGGATGCGCGGGCATGCTCGCGGAGTTTACGAAACGGGTAACGTTATACAGACCCAAAATCCGGCTCCGGGTACCCCCGGCCAAGACAAACGTTGCCGGCTGCCTCCTCGCTCAGAAGGCACCTAACCGTGCCGAAAACGGATATATACAGATTGCACCGCTATCCACCGGCGCAGTTAGGGGGATAGGCGGGGAGAGGAAGGCCATCGGTTGGTCGTCCCGGCGTGGAAAAGGTAACACTCCTGCACCATCCTTCGCAGGAACTCAAGCTGAAGAACCACCGTCAGCGAGGAGGACCTCCGTCGTCTGGTACATAATGGATGACACGCAAGCCATCTCTATGGAAATCCCACGTGCTTCGCAGAGGAGCACATCGTTGTGGAAAGGTCCAACGAGACTTGGAAGGGCTGCCCTGGTGCCACCGCTACGGTCATCATCAGATCGGGGATAAGGAGTGGGACATCCCACCACCGGACTGCACCAGCCCGGGGAACAGCAACAGCACCAGCAACAGCGCGATAGCAACAGCACCACCAGCTACAGCAACAGCAATAACAACAGCAAGAACAACAGCGATAACAACAGCAATAGCAATAGCACTACTAGCTATAGCAGCAGCAACAGCGGTCTTTACAGGCCGAGCAGTTAACCACTTACCGGCCAAGCTGAGGTTGCATTTGCGTGAGGTGACGACAGCCAGTCGCTCATCACAGTACGGTGACTCCGTCTAGGAGAATGCACATTTGTGCTTGGTGTATGCTTGTTAGCTGCTTGTTAGGTGTTTGTCGGCGTTCAAATGCTAAGGAGATACACAAGCGAGACACGGCACGAAAATCGGGCATTCGGGTCTGGACGGTCAACGCCCAGGAGCGGAGGAGACCGATATTATCATTTGCAACGCTGGGTGGGCCGCTACCGCGCGCTTCTTGATGATGAGAGGAAAGAAGACGAACCCAGGCAACTGTCTAAGGTACTTGACTAAATCCTTCAGCTGGGAACGATGCAGTCGGTGACTTCCATGTAATTGAGACAAAGTTTCCAATAATCTGATAATCCTGACATAACACTGAAGAGATACTGCTACCAACACCACAGCTCCAGGGAAAACTCCCGCTTCCATTCATAGCTTGAACCCACAATGACTTCAACCTACGTCTACATCTGGTCCTCCAAACCCGGCGTCAAGCCCGGGATTGCATCGAGCCCTGTGGCACCGGTCAGCACCGCTCAAAGAAAGCCAACGCACCATATCAGACTTACAGCCATCAATCTGCTCGTGAACCTGCACGGGGCGAGTGCATTGGTTCCCCTGAGCAATGGACTGTGACTTGAGCTGCGGACACCGGTCGCAGTTGCTGTCCATGGCCTTTTGCAGAGCGTCGTCCTTCCAACCAAAGACATAATCGCCATGGTTCCCAAACCCAGTCTTGTCGCCCTGACTCCACACAAAGGGCTGGGAGCCATCCTCAGGCCAGAGGTCCTTGCTGTTGAAGCGGGTGGTATCCCAGATGACCTCGTAGAACAGCTGGGGGATCTTGACGGGGTGGGTGCTGGGGCAGGGCCCGTAGGACTCGAAGGTGCCGCTGCTGGGGTAGGCGATGTGGGACATGTGGTCGGGCGAGTCAAGGTTTTTCCCGTCCCAGCAGGTCGGGAAGCGGACGTTGGACATGATGCCCGCGGGGCACGGCTTCTTGGGCATGTCGAGCGTCTCGCCCGTGCGCGTCAGCATGTTCTGCAGGCACGTGTATGTCAGCTGCCGGAAGCGGGAGGTTTCTTCGCGTGTGCGTGAACTTTGGGATCCGATCAGCATCCGGAACCCGGGCTTGAAGGCCGTCACGCTCGACTTGGTGCTGCCGATGTAAGGGATGTAGTAGATGGTCATGCCCCCGCGGGCTTGCTCGAACCCGACGTTGGGCTTTTGGGGGACCCGGATGTAGCTGCCGTTGCGGGAGCGGAAATATAGGACTGCGGTCCAGTAGTTGGAGAAGTCGTCGGCAAAGGTGCATGTCGTGCAGGTTGCCAGCGACGGCGGGGGTGTTGAGGGGTCCATGGTCGTGTTGAAGGCATTCTGTGAGCAAGTTCAAGTTGGGAGTTGTCAGCGCAAGGCATGGCAGCATCCATATGACTTGGCAAGGAGAAGATCGCATACACCGCCGACGATCTGGTGCAGATGGGGTGAAGGGGCGAGCCCGGGGTTGACCAAGCTGTGTTAGGGGTGCTGTTAGTGGTGTCTTGTGATTCATGAATATTTGCTGCTAGCCACGATATCAGGGGTAGATGAGCGACTCACGGGTCCAGACGCTCAACCACCAGCTGTGAGCAGGAGAAACGCAGTAGCGCATTTGCCCCGGACGCTGCCAGCGCCAGGACTGTTAGAGATCCCCAACCCATGTCTCCTTGCATGCTGTTTTGGCCTGCTACTGAATGTATCACAGATCAACTAAAGGTGTTTTTATATTGTTTTTGCGGTTTCGCCAGCTGACCGTAGAAAAGGGGTGACGTGAAGGAACTTGGCCGGTAATCTCATGTACCCCTATGTGCCTCTGACGGTCTGACCTAATGCGGCTTGCCGGTTTTATGTCTCTCCAAGTTATCATCCGGATGTTTTCTAAACTACTTGCAGGCTGTAATTGAATGCTTGGAAAAGGCTACTATAATCACAAGGTACCTTACCTACGGATACAGACTGTTGCCGACCGACAGATGCCGGTGTCTAACTGCCGGAGCCGCTGGCTAAGTAATGAAGAGTTATCCGATTCGGTGGGTTAGAGCCTTTCTGGGTGGCGATCCGCTCAATATAATAGCCATGGCCGCCATGTGGTGTATCCGGAAACTGCACGGCGGGAAGCATATAGCGCCCTCTTTAGATTAGGGATTTCCCTATATCAGGGTACAGGTGCTATAGCGGCTATTCTTTTTCAGCCGATGTGTTTTAGGTATGGAGGTCTGCTGGCATACTATTCTATGAACTGCGCCGAAGTCCTGATTCGAAAGCCCCTTGTTTGCCTGGTTAGATTGGTTTAGAGAGGTATATTATCTATGGCGTAGGAAGAGCTGTTTCCTTTCAAGTTCATGTTGTCAAAATCAACTACATGAGCATGTAGGCATTTACTTCCATATGTGTCTTTCCATCATGTCATGTACCAATGACCATTGTTCATCCTCACCAGCCTCACCTCATCGCCGAGTCTTAGAGTCTGTTGTTAGTACCTATGTACAGCTGTCATTGAACTAGACATTTGGATGCTATGAAACCTTATTCAGAGTCACCATGCGGTCGATGCGCCTACAAGAGTACAGTAATATAGGGAACGTACTACTTACCATCTTACCTCGCAACTCCATGGCAACAGAAGCTTGAGATGGAGGGATTGACCGTAAATACGCCGGAACAGCATTGGCAATCTTGTTCCAACACTTGAAAGGGGGTCTCGAAGTCTGGCATCCATGACCTTGGGTAGTATGCAGGATCTTCGTGAAGCTCCCTACCCGACATGTATACAGCATCGGATATGTTGAAGTTGCCTGCGTCTGTGGAGTATCGGTATGCCTGATGGGGAATATTGTCGATGTTGGGCTCTCCGCAGCCTGACCGGAGCTCTTCCTTCTGGGTTTGACTGATTCAGGGGGTTTGAAATCAATATGTACGGAAAGCAGTGTATGTGTTCGATTCCCCCGGCTGTTTCTTGCTCTTGATTGGCCTCTTTCGATATATATTCCGAGATGCTGTTACTAGTAGATGTATGGAAATGAAAACTAAGTACAGCCTGGGAATGACGCCCCGTTTCCACTACCAGTATCACCTACACTTAAAAACTACTTGGTTGTCAAAGCACCCGGGCATTTTTGTGTTACACCTAGGTACTTGACTTGGTACATGTACGTAGGCTAGCACTTTGCCGTGACTCACCAACCTGGGAGCTGTAGAGAGGAGAAAAGCGGAAACGAACATTGGGCGACATGGACCTTGCGTCACCGCATGGGCATTACTAGGCGGTAGCTGGCTACTCGTGCAGACATTATCAGCACCAGACCAACAAGATGGATACTTGCATGTGTATAGCTAACTTTATGCAGCAGTTCCGGTCAATTCGGTGAGATTGAACATGGTCGCCAACAACATGAAAGTTCCATGACGAGGATAAAGCCTGGACAGGAATAAGATATGGACTGTATGGAACTGCATGCTAGTTATGAACTGCCGAAGAAACATCCCGTAGGTGGTACTCAGTGCAACCACAGATTGTGACAAAAGGGTGCGCTCCATGTTTAGCGAGGGGTGGCTTCACCCCTTATTGGTGAAAGGGGCTTACGATGCAGTGAGGCAGCTCCAGGGCCTGTACTCCGCAATATTCTGGTGGGCGAGACCCCATGCATATAATACTACAGTCATAGGAGATGCTGACAGACTGGACTGGGTCTCTAGAGCAATCTATGGTGGACGTGGACTCGTGGAGATGGATCATTGATGGGAGGAAGGATCCCAACCATGTTATGTTATGGGGGGCGCCGTTCAGAAGGCCGCTGTTCCCTGTGTTGTGTCAACTCGTGTGCTTGACCGCTGTCAGTTTCACCGCTCTCGTCTGGCTCGCCGTAAGGGGCAGGTCGTATGAGAAGGGCAACTCACAAGACCTGTCAACAAGGGAGTTGCAGATCCCCCGCACTCGGATATATCCGAGTCAGTCGGCTGCCAACGGCCTTTGATGACGGGAGTGGAGAACGGTCTAGATGGGGGACCGGTTCAAAGTTGTGCAGACAAGCAGTGGAGTGTAACCTGCTATTCATAGTCCGTCTCAACCTTCGAGCTATCTCAGTGGTGTAACTGGGTCCGTCGTCGCGTTACTGTTACATTAGATGAATCAACCAAACACTTACTTTGTGCCATCCCCGCAGTTCCAACCACCCGGGACCTATCTCGGTGCCTTTCCGAGGTCCGTTGACCGATCTCTGAACCTTATTCTCAACTTAACAGACATCTGCACCTCGTCGCCACTAGACGGTCCTTTGACTGCTTGTGACAATACTCTCTTAGCTTACACCCTTGAACAATGGTGACGGACTCGGTCAACGACGTTGAGGCGGAAAAGGCGGGCCAGGGGCAACTGGGGGATGCAGAAGTAGGCCACAATGAAGTGATATGACGCCTTCCCTTGAGTCCAATTCCTTCTGAGAGAAGAGCGTTGTGGTAATGATCAAACGCTAACAAGGGTCTGCCGCCTGCCAGTTCGCTCAGACTGCCATCGGCGGCGTCGAGCCCGAGTACAGTGAGAAAGAGGAGCGGGCGCTGCTGTGGAAGCAGGACCTCACCATCCTGCCCCTCTCGGCCTTCATCTACTTCCTCTGCTACCTTGACCGGTCCAACATTGGCAACGCGCGCATCCTCAACTCGTCGACGCGCAATGACATGCAGACCGAGATCGGGGCGACGCAGTACCAGTTCAACATCGCCCTCATGATCTTCCTGATCGCCTACGCCATCTTCGAGGTGCCGTCCAACATCCTGCTCAAGAAGCTGCGCCCGTCGCGCTGGCTGGCCTTCCTCATGTTCTCGTGGGGCGCCGTCACCATGGGCCTGGGCGGCGTGCACACCTTCTCGGCCACGGCGGGCGTGCGCTTCCTGCTGGGCGTGTTCGAGGCTGGCTTGTTTCCGGGCCTGGTCTACTATCTGACCTTCTGGTACAAGAACGACGAGCGCAGCGTGCGCGTGGCCCTGATCCTGGCCAGCGCGACGCTGGCGGGCGCTTTTGGCGGGGCTATTGCGTATGGCATCGGGCACATGAACGGCGCGCGGGGCCTGTCGGCGTGGCGCTGGCTGTTCATCATCGAGGGCGCTCCCTCGTGCCTGTCGGCCTTTCTCGTGCTGTTTTTGCTACCCGACTACCCGGAAGAGTTCCTCAAGGGCAGGCAGCGTGAAATCGCCCTGGCACGGTTGCGTGTTGAGGGCAGCAAGAGCCACCACCGCAGCATGACGTGGCACGACGCAAAGTCGACCCTGACCGACTGGCGCCTGTACGGCCACTACCTCATCTATTTTGGTGTCTCGGTGCCCTTTAGCTCGCTCTCGCTGTTTGCGCCCTCCATCGTAGCAGGCCTGGACTACAAGGACCTGCAGGCGCAGCTGATGACGGTGCCGCCCTATGCCGCTGCTTATGGTGCGTTCTTGCATTCTCAGTCATGCCCATCATGGATCATTATCATGCTTACCTCGATACCAACCAGTAACCCAAATCCTCGTCTCCTACTCGGCCGACCATTTCAACGCGCGGGGCCTGCACAGCGCCGCCTTTGCCCTGATTGGCGCCATCGGCTTCATGGCCTCGGCGCTGCTGCCCCCGGACGCCTACCTGCAGCGCTACGGCTGCCTGATTGTAGCGTCTGCGGGCGCCTTTGCCTGCGTGCCGCCCATGCTGGGCTGGCTGACGTCCAATGTGTACTCGACGGCTTCAGTCGGCCTCGCTGTTGCCATCAATGTCAGCATGGGGGGCGGCATCGGCCAGATTCCCGGCGTGTGGATCTACAAGGCCGAGGACCGCGACCGGGGCTATCCGACGGGTCATTGGGTGAATGCGGCCATGCTGTTCATGGTTGCGACTGGCGCAGTGGGGTTGAGGATTTTTTATGGGTGGAAGAACAAGCAGCTGTTGAGAGAGGCTGAGAGCGCTGGAAGGGAGGTGAGGTTGTTTAAATTTTAGGCGGCCAGCGGACGCGAGCCAAGCAAGGGCCATTGATTAGTGTGGCGCAGATTCTGCAGTTGTTCCCTTTGTCAGGGCAGGTACTTTGGAACAGGAGGGATCTGTTAGTGCAGCCCAAATTTCTGTATGCAAAAATCATCCTCTCGACTAGGGTTGGCAATTTACTGAAAAAATCCTATTTTTTCATGTAAATTACCCTGACAGTAAATAACACTTTACACGAACATTGGTCCGTGCGTCACTCCTTACCCTATAAAGGTAAAGTCCTCCTACTATTTGGCAGCCAATCATAGCCTTAGCCAAATGTATAAAGGCCCACTTTCTCTTTGCGCGACAGACAGGCCGGTGGTATTTTGGGTCAGTCAACCTTTATATTTATCAATGGTAGAACCTTAAGGAGGCTGGAAACACGGGATCTTATACAAAATAATATAGCGCTTGTGACAGCGGTCATATGGTTGGTCATGTAACCACATGCCACGTACCGTCAGTACGGTGAAGGTCAGTATAGTAAAGGAGGATTTTTACCATCAACCTATATATCACCCTAGCCATTGAGGAGCTTGGCGCCTTGGCGGTGTCATGATAATTTTTTTTTTTAGTAAAAATACTATAATTTACTGTTGTCAGTAAAAAACCGCCATCCCTACTCTCGACTACCCCTCTTAACAGAACCTTCGGTTTGCAAATGTACTCCACATTTTCCGGGTTCCTTGCGAGCGTTTACCTGGCAGTGGCTGCAGTGCGGCAGCACTGCAGCACACAGTTTCCTTTCGGCCCACCTCGTCTGGCAGCGAACGGTCACGCTGCAATTGCAAGAGAAGCTTCAAAATCCGTCAACTCAGTCGTGGTGTGCTCCAGGCCGATGTCTCGATCTTAACCCCTCATTTCAAGTTCAAATACACAACCGTATTCATCTTGTTCATTATTTCTTCATCCCCACCATGCCAGGAAGCTCCTTAAGCCCTGTTAAGTGCACGCGGTCAGCTCAGCTCCAGTCCACAACGGTTGGTTGTTGATTGATGAAACCACAACCCACTTGGGGCCCTTCGAGTCTCGACATTGAGAACTTGGGAAAGCAGCTTACATCCATCAACATCCTCAGCAGCAGTTTGGCTCTTGGTGCACTTAGCAGCTTCCTCGGGTGTCTGCGTCTCCAAACTCTCGCAGACGTCGCCGAAGCAGCGTTTATCCATGGCGCGCTGCAGGGCATCGCCCTTCCACCCGAAGCTGAGCCCGTGTCAGTCAACTCCGATAAGACAGGTCATATTTAACTTACACATAATCTCCGTGCTGGGAATATCCGTTCCTGTATTACGGATTATCATCGCTGTCAGTTTCGTGTTCAGGGGCGCGGCAGGGGTGTTGCCCATGCGCATATCCATGATGAAAAGGGGCTTGAAGTTGACACCCACGCGACTGGTGTTAGCGGTGGACGAACGCAAGGAAGCACTTACTCGTCGCCGGTACTCCAGACAAATGGCTGCTGCGTCTTATCCTCAGGCCACAGGTCTGGATCATTGAATGGTGTCGTCTGTTCCTCCGTCAGCAATTCCGCACACAATCCATAATCCCTCGCGGTTCCAGTATCTCCAAAGCTTCCACTTACATCCCAGATGACCTCATACATAACCTGCGGGATCTTGACAGGATGGCTCTCGGGACAGACGCCCCCGTCAAAATCAAAGGGGTCCGCCGAGCCCTCAACCGGGTACGCAACATGGCTCTTGTGGTCCACGCTGTCCAAGTTGACCCCGTCCCAGCAGGTGGGGAAAGTGATGACGCTCCTGATACCACCTGCGCAGAACTTTGTGGGCAGCGTGATGCTGTCCGGGGCGGCGCAGTTGAGGTTTCTGAGGTCTCCGGACTTGGGCATGCAGCGGTGGCAGATTTTTGGGTCATATTTCCCCTTTTGCACGGGTCCCCGGAGACCCGCGTCGCCGACAAGCATGCGGAACCCCGGCCGGAAAGCGGTCGTCTGAGCCTTGCCCAGCGGCGGGATGTAGTAGACGGTGATGCCGCCGTCGCCTCGCAGGCCCTCGTTGGGCTTCTGCGCCACCCGCTTGTACGTGCCGTTGCGTGCGCGGAAGTACAGCACCGCCGTCCAGTAGTTGGAGAAGTCCTCGGTGAAGGTGCATGAGGTGCAGCTCGACTGGGCGACCAGGTCGTGCGTCTTGGGGTCCATGGACGCGTTGAAGGAATTGCCGCCGACGATCTGGTGGACGTGAGGAGACGGCACCAGGCCTGGGTTGACGAGGGGATCCAGCCGCTCAACGACGAGTTGCGAGCATTGGAATCGGAGCATGGGCGGGATGTTCGCCGTCGCGGGATCAAATAGACCCGAATCATCCTGGCTGGAGACCCGGCCAACTTGGCTCAGGAGGCCGGCCAAACCCAGCATGAGAGACTTCCACTGTGCCATCTTGAACAGGATAGAGCTGTTGGCTGAGGTAGACTCCGTCGTTTAGTACTATGTATTCTACCTCCCGCCGTGATATCAGACTTGGAGTGGAAAGATTAGAGGCAGGTTTTCTGTTCAATACTGGCAAGGACTATCACTAGTATGAATCAGAGTCTGGATCTCGCACACGCCCCTCTTGTATGCATTCCTAGCACTCATCTAGATCCCGATCATGATAGATTTCGAGGTCAGCATGCGATATTGCTTGTATATTACCTCGGCCGGTAGATTTAGGCGCGGCTATCACTTCGAGCCCTCGACGAATTACATGCTCCCCCTAGCCCGCTTCTAATATCTCCCACATGGTTGATGAACAGCATCCTCGTACTGGAAAAACACCTGCATATGTTGATGCCATCCCAAAAGTGCATATGATCGCCAGTGAGATCCATCCATTCAAGTCCTCAACCTCCCTGAGTGGCGTTTAAATCTTGCGCCTAGAACTGAGTAGGCCCTACATGCCGTGCCGTTCGGCCGGTGGTCAGCCAAGATATGCAACCCGTACCTTACCCAGTACCTTACCTTATCTGATTATTCATGAACCCGAGCCTACCTATACACGGCTATGTAGCGAACAGCTGAGCCGCCTGTGCCGTCTGGTGAAGCCCCAACTGATTTGATATGCCAAGGGTTCGAGGCACTTAAATGCGGACATGCTTCCAGTCACGGTTTACTTCAAGCTGCTGTTGTTTATAACGCTGCTCCGGAGCAGGAATACTCAAACTTCAGGGGGTGTGGAACAAAGCCTCCCTTAAAAGGGGCTGTCGGTCCTGACAAAGGCAAGGCCTTCGTACTTAAGAAGAAGAAAAAGTTCGGACTCTGTTCCATCAGACTCGGAGTATGAGGAAGAATGCATTCCAACTCGATCCTCAATCCCATGCCAATCTGATGCTGGAGATGGAGTCGAGCTTGCAGCTGACTTGCCTGATCACATGAACTATGATGATACGGCATCCCAACGTATGATGCTTACTATCAAGCAGCTTACAGCATTCTTACCAACCCCGTCCAACCGCACCGTTTCTCAGGGCTCACCGGAGGATTGATCAGCAAACGTCCCGCCGGAGTTAGGGCGAAGAGGAAACACAACGTGACGTACCTACCTTTAAGTTAGGTAACAAAGAGTGTTGGGCCAAACGCTAGTACTAGTTGCTGGATTCTCATGGTGACATGTATCGAGAGCTCGGCACATGTACGAAGGTACGGTCTGGTCTTTTTGTGATCCAATGTTACCTCGCATCCGCCGCTCGGGGTCGTAACCCCAGCGCCCAGCCTGCGCCCACGTCGTTTTCTGGGGATTACGTCCCAAAGTTACCCCGACTGCATCCCAATGATTTAAAATACGTTATGCGTGCATCCCAAACCCTTGGTTGCGTAGCAGTATTGGCTTGAATCGGGGCCTTCCTGGTTCGCACTTCGCAGTGTTACCTCCCTGACAGAAGAGTGTGCCCCGCAGGCGATCCTAAAGCTGGAAGGTGCTTGGCGTGGGGCTTGTGAAGCCTGCCGTCATCCAGGCAGTTCGGGGTCAGAAACGTGGAACAACGGCGCCTGCTTAGTAGGATTCAGTTTTGCATTCCTTCCATCTTCCCCAAGGCGGCTCCTTTCTTGGGTTAGGCTCTGCATACTTCTATGCAATGATTCTTGTGCCCTCGTGGGCAGTTGGGATTTTCAAGACATGAGTGAACAGAATGTACCGCTATTTCCCGAGCCCGGCGTACCAAAATGCACACTCAGACCCAGAGGCACACGGCGAACAACATACTAGTAGCGCTTAGCTCACTGCAAGGGAGTCATCAAGATGGGTTCCGGGAACAAAGACACCATCAGTAGTACTTACCTATAAATGACGCCATACCTAGCACAGCAGTTCGCATCCTCATCTTCTCCAAGCTGCCCAAGCCTTTACAGTACTCTACACATTCAAGTCGTGATCATGATCCGTCCTCTTGTCTCGCTCGCCTGGGCGGCAACCTTGTTTGCCGTGGAAGTTGTCGCGTCCCTCTCTAAATCCCCTTTCGCAAAGAGAGAATGGGGGAACCGCAACCGCTTGAGGTGCGAGACAGCCTCATTTACCGGGATTCTCCCTCCAAACGTGACCATTGAGACGGTAGCAGCTGTGCCGGAAGGGGGCAGCTATGGCGAGGGGAGTTCCAACATCCCGTACCCAGTCATCCCAACCAACCTCCCGGCACTGTGCGCCGTCACGGTCCGTGTTCGGAGCTCTCCCAGCAGCGGCTACCGATTCGGGCTCTTCCTGCCCAACGAGTGGGACTCCCGGTTGCTCGTCGTAGGCAATGGCGGGTTCGCGGGGGGGATCGCCTGGTCCGAGATGTATGTGCATCTGTCTAGCTTGACATCAATCCGGTTCTTGACGTGTCGTACAGGGCATCCGGGCCCCATTTTGGCATGGCCACCATTTCAACCGATACAGGGCATAGTTCGAGCTCCACAGACACGTCCTGGGCGTTGAATCAACCTGAGCGGAGAGAAGACTGGGGTTGGCGAGCGATCCATGGCTCGACCGTCCTCGGCAAGCAGCTGGTACAAGCCTACTACGGCAACAAGCCGGTCCGCTACTCGTACTATAGCGGCTGCTCGACGGGAGGTAGACAGGGGCTCAAAGAGATCCAGAACTTCCCGGACAGTTTCGACGGCGCATTGATCGGTGCTCCCGCGTGGTGGACCTCGCACGTGAACAACTACTTGACCCAAGTAAGCGCCTCTTGTTGAGTACTCGAGCAAATGCGCCTATTTTGACCGTTAGCTAATCAAATGCAAAGGTCGGCATATGGAACCTGCCCGCCACTGATCCCAAGCACCTCACCGCCGCTCACCTGTCCCTAATCGCAGCGGAAGTAGTGCGTCAATGCGACGGCCTGGATCGCGTCAAAGACGGCATCGTCAGCAGCCCAGAGTCTTGCAGTCCCGATCTGACGACGCTCCTCTGCGCGAGGCCCGGCCAAAACACATCGACCTGCCTAAACCGGGCCCAGATCATGACAGTGCACAACCTCTACAACCCGTACGTCTCCTCAACCGACCGCTCGCTACTGTACCCGGGCTTCACGCCGAGCTCGGAGGCGCAGTGGGGCTGGGCATTCGGATCCAACGTCGAGCCGTCGCCCTATGGGGTGGGGTACCAGCGCAACTTCCTGCTTGACGACCCGACGTGGGACTGGCGCAGCTTCAACGAGAGCCTCATCGCTCTCGCGGAGCGCACAGACCCGGGCAATGCCACGGCCGACGACTATGGCGCGCTTGCCGCCTTCCGCCGCCGAGGCGGCAAAATGATCATGTACACGGGCCTGGCGGACGGCCTGCTCCCCGCGCAGGGCACGCAGCTGTACTACAACCGGACCGTCAACGCGCTCGGTGGTGGTGGTGGTGGACGTGGACATGGACGGGGCAGCGGGGTGCAGGATTTCCTCAGGCTGTTTCTTGTCCCCGGCTTGCAGCACTGCTTCAGCACCGCCGTGAACGCGCCGTGGGCCTTTGGGGCGGCATTTCAGGGCGCAACCATCATGGGGCCTGGGGTGTGGTCGGTGCCCGGGTTCGAGGATGCCGAGCACGACGCCGTCCTGGCGCTGGTGGATTGGGTGGAGCACGGGAGGCCCGTCGACAAAATCATCGCGACGACATGGCGCGAGCCGCTGAACCCGGCATCCGGGGTGCTCAGGCAGCGGCCGATTTGTCCGTGGCCGCAAAAGGCTGTGTATAAGGGGTATGGGAATGTCGATAGAGCTGAGAGTTGGAGATGCTCGGAGGTGCAAGTAGGTGATGGATGGGACAAGGGTTGGTTCTGACCGACCGATTGACCGCCTGCTTCCAACAGAGTCGCTGAAACGTTCGACCCCGCTTTTCTGCCGCTCTCGGTTTTTGGTGCATTAGCGCCCGCCAAGCGCCACACAGGCCCTTTGTTAGTGACGGAGGAAAGCAACAGTCGTTCAGAGTTTCCGGTGACGTTGAAACGGGACGATTTTGAAGCTTGACATGGGACAGTATGTTCATGATTGCAGCATGTGTGAGTGTAAGAAACCAAATAAACAGAGCGCACGGAATGTGCCTCTAGATAGCTGGAGCTTGTCCGCACACCTTAAGCAATGGCCAATGTTGTTCGCCAAGCTGCTGAAATCTTGGGCGCTCAGCTGAAGATAAGGCGAACGAGACCCCTAGCTTGAGTCAGTGTCAGTGGGTTCCATCCAGGCAGCGAAGCCCCTCCTGCCCCGCACCGCTCGTTTTTAGTCCTGGGTGCCGTATCTTCGCGTCGCGTCAAAAATTTTCCATTTCACGTAACCTTCCATATACGCCGCCGCCCAACCGATTCCCCTGCCCTTCCATCGCAGCTCGCAACTCTGAAAGATCAATCACGATGCGTTACGTCCTCGTTACCGGCGGTGTCATTTCAGGTATCCCCAAGACGCGTGATCGCAGAGTTGGGTATCTTGTAGGCTAACGCGAGGCAGGGGTTGGGAAGGGCATCATTGCATCGTCGACTGGCTTGGTCCGTAGAGGCTGTCCCGCATCAAGTTACACCGGATGCCTCTAACCGAACTGGCTGTAGCTCCTCAAAACTCTCGGTCTGCGCGTCAGCTGCATCAAGATTGACCCCTATGTCTCGGTCGACGCCGGCCTCATGGCCCCCGCCGAGCACGGCGAATGCTTTGTTTTGTGCTCCGGTTCGTTATTGCAATCCGAGAGGGTCCCAAGCCGCGAGCTTGCTGCAGGTTTCTGACCCACTCCTGTAGGCTCTGAAGTAGATCTTGATCTTGGCAACTACGAGAGATATCTCTCGGTGCGCCTCACGGGCGAGCACAACATCACGACCGGCAAGGTCTATCTCAACGTCATCGAGAAGGAGCGCCGTGGCGACTACCTTGGCAAGACGGTGCAGATCGTACCACATGTCACCGACTTTATCAAAGACTGGCTGAAGAGGGTTGCCAAGATCCCCGTCGATGGCTCAGCAGAGGAGCCTGATGTCTGCATCATTGAACTTGGGTGCGTCTGATTTCGTGCATTTTCCATCTGCCCATGCGCTATGCCTGCGCGAGCCCAAGCCCTGGCGCTAACCGTATTCAAAAGGGGAACCATTGGTGATATAGAGAGTGTATGTTCAGCCGCCTGCGCCTTGGAAATCCAGGCCACCGGACCCATTAGTCGTCTGCCGGCCGCTAACATAGTGACAGATGCCCTTTATTGAGGCGTTGACGCAGCGTACGTTATTTCAAGACAGATACACCATTGACCCACCCCCTTTCCTGCTCCTTGCCTCGGAGCAGCTTCCACCAGAAAATTGCCCTTATTGACTATCTGAGCAGTGCGCCATGAGGCTGGCAGCGGCAACTTTATGACCATTCACGTATCATATGTACCTATGGTGCATGGAGAGCAAAAGACGAAACCTACTCAGCACGCAGTCAAGTCGATCCGTAGTCACGGCCTGATTCCGGATATCGTAAGTGCCGGCGCCGTATCCGTCGATGACGCCGCGCTAACAAGCACTAGGTTGCGTGTCGCTGTGAGCAGCCCCTCGCCGAAGCGACAGTGTCCAAAGTTGCCCTCCACTGCCAGGTCGAGAAGGAGCAGGTCATCGTAGTGCGGGACATGCCCACTATTTACCAGGTTCCTCTCCTCCTCAGCGAGCAAAAGCTTGTTCCGCAACTCCGGTCCAAGCTAGCCCTGGACAAGATCGACATTCCTCCCGCCATGGTTGCCCAGGGCGAAGAGCTCTGGTCTATGTGGAAAACGATTGTTACTCCGAATTATCAAGAAGAACTTAGGATAGCGCTTGTGGGTAAATATGTCACATCCCAGGATGCGTATCTCTCAGTTGTCAAAGCGCTTGAGCACTCGGCGATGCGCATTCGCCGGAAGCTCCAGTTGCTCTGGATCGACTCGGAGGATCTTGAGCCGACGAGCAAAGGAGGGCCCGCACAGGCCAAGTACCACAAGGCCTGGCATGAGGTTTCCACCGCGGCAGGTATCATCGTACCAGGTGGTTTTGGCCACCGTGGGACAGAGGGCATGATGAGAGTCTCCAAATGGGCCAGGGAAAATGATATTCCCTTCCTGGGCGTACGTGTCGCTGGCGGAATGAGCGAAAAATCGTTATGCTAACAGAACTCTAGGTATGTCTTGGTTTCCAGGTTGCTGCCATCCAGTTCGCCCGCGATCTATGTGACATGCCGGAAGCCACATCTGAAGAGTTTGATTCCCAAGCCAAGGACCGTGTGGTCGTCTACATGCCTGAGCTCGACCGGCAGAACATGGGCGGCACCATGCGCCTTGGACTGCGGAAAACCATCTTCCAGGAGGGTACTGAATGGTCCAAGGCGCGATCTTTGTATGGCGGTGTCGAGGTCATTGAGGAAAGGCATCGGCATCGGTACGAGATCAATCCCCAGCTCGTAGACAAGCTTGATAACGCCGGTCTTCACTTTGTTGGCAAAGACGAGACGGGCGAGCGGATGGAGATTTTTGAGATCAAAGACCATCCGTTTTTCGTTGGTATGTACCCAATCGACATTTCCTCTTAGACGATATGTTTCTGACTTGGGAATAGGGACACAATTCCATGCCGAGTACCAGTCACAAGTGGTCAGCCCTAGCGTAAGTTTTACACCTGTGATAATCAGGATAAGTTTTATTGATCTTGGTTCAGAGACCATACCTCGGCTTCGTAGCTGCGAGTGCAGGCTGCCTGGATGAAGTTTTGAAGCAGCAGCCAGTCGAGGTGTTCAAGGCCCCTGTGGTTAATGGAACCGCCGAATGAAGGGGACACAAGAGCAAGCGGCCATAGGCTGGCTGCCGCTATACACCCTAGCTCGGGAAGGCGAGCTGGTTAGATCTGTCCCCCGGACGTGGAGCACAATGGTGTGCAGGTTTTGGGACCAAGCATCCTGGGGCCTATAGTAGCGACCGATCTGGAAAGGTCAGAGCCGGAAGACGTTGCGGGGACCCTGGATTAGTAGCAGGCCAAAAAGCGAGTCTTACCTCATTCCCGACTTGGTTCCTTCTTTGGAGCAGGCGAGAGCAGGCGCTCGGTAGATCTCCTTGAGCCGCGGCAAGTTGAGCGGGATAATACGCGCCGTAGGCATTGAGGCATACAGAAAGTGGTATCACTACTCTACCTACGTAGACTTAGAGTCCTAGACTAAAGTCAGCCGGCACAGTTTGAGGTCGTGCTGCGCATGAGAAGCTAGAGGAGGCTTGTATAGACTATGAGGCGATGTGGGGGGAAGAACGTTGTACTCGTACATTGACTGAAAGAACAACCACGCCACTTTGAACCTTGAATAGGGAAAGTCAAATCTACTGCGCACAGTGCGCAGTACCAGTAGTTAAGGATGAGAAGCATCAGTACAGTACAGGAAATGAAGCACTGCAGTATTACAACCTCGTAGCATGTATTTCTCCTTTGCGAATAAATATAATCAATTCAAGCGTGACTGAGAAAGGTCGTGCTCAAGAATGAAAGCTGAGATTGTCCTGGGTATATTCCCTCTAGTAGTACACTGAGTACAGTTCCCTAATCCCTATCATGTAAACCTCTTTCAAATCAACATGCCTAATACCAGTACGCCTCCCTAGACTCCTAGTTAACAACCCACCCACTGCTGTCTATCCAATAGCTCCTCCAGGCAAGCCGTTCTATAAACCCTTCCACAAGCAAGTAACATTAACTTCGTACACGGTCATCACAGAAACAACACCGACAGCAAGTCAGCAACAACAACGGGTCCTCAGACTCATGCAGCCGCGAACTCCATGGGCTTCCCCTTGACGCTCTTCCACTCAACAAACATAGCGCCGAGTATGCTCACGGCCGAGAGGCCAGCAAAGACCATAAAGGTCTGCGTCAGCGCATTGTTGAAGGCCAGCGTCACCCCCGGCAAAAAGGCCGGGTCGACCACTTCCTGCACGCGCGTGGCGCCCAGGCCGAGGACGAAGGTCGGGTCCGGGATCTCAGGCACGTAGGCAGCGACGTACTCGACCAGCTTGTTGGCAAAGACGTTTTGCGAGACGGCGACGAACAGGGCGCCGCCGAGCGTCTGCAGGAAAATCGTCAGCGACGCGCCCGTGGGCACGTCGTCAATGTCGAGCACCGTCTGCACCGCGATCAGCGGCTGCTGGAAGCCGATGCCGATTCCCGCGCCCAGGAGGATCTGGTAGCCGATCCAGGCCCCGCTGCCCGTGTCCGGGGTGAAGGTTGTCGTGAGGCCGTATCCGATCGACGCCAGCACGCTGCCCGCGATCATGAAGGGCGTGTAGTACCCCCACATGGTGACGGCCGCGCCGGCGATGACCGACGCCAGCACCACGGCCACCAGCGCGGGGAGGTTCATGATGCCCGAGCCAACGGCGCTGGCGTCTTTGACCGACTGGAACCAGATGGGCAGGTAGTAGGCGGATCCGAGGAAGGCGCCGCCGATGCACAGGATGAAGAAGCCCGAGGACCAGACGCTGCGCTTGAGGAAGATGCGAGGCGGCACCGTGGCCATGTCCTGCTGCTTGTACTGCACGAAGACGAAGATGATGATCAGCACGCCAAAGAGGCAGAAGAGGAGGATGATGCGCCAGTTGTTCCAGGGATACGTGGTGCCGCCCCACTGCAGAGCGAGGAGCAGGCAGATGATGGCGGGCATGAAGACGGCCGACCCAAAGGGGTCGAATCTCATGACGCGTTGCCGGAGCGTGTCGTCCTGGTTGCGGAGCTGGCGCTTGGGGTCCGGGAAGAAGATGAGGATGACGATCATGGTCACGGCGCCGACGGGCAGGTTGATCCAGAAACACCACCGCCATGTAACGTGGTCCGTGAATGCACCGCCTGATCGAATCTGTTAGTGACTGTGCATATCATGCGGTGCTAGTAGTATGTAGCAACGTCGGACACATACCCATTAGTGGCCCTGAGATGGACGCCAGCCCGTACATGCTGCCGATTGCTCCGGTGTAGATGGGGCGCTTGCTAAGAGGCACCGAGTAGGCCAGGATTGTCAAAGCGCCCGAGAAGATGCCCGCTGCGCCGACGCCGGCCACGGCACGCCCGATGATCAGAGTGACGCTGTTGTTGGCCACGGCACAGATCAGGCTGCCGACCTCAAAGATGAAGATGGCAAGAAGATAGACCCATTTGATGCTGAAGAAGGTGTAGAATCTGCCAAAGAGCAGTTGAAGCGCGGCGGTCGTGAGTAGATAAGCTAGTGAGATCAAATATCAGTAAGGGATGCTCGATATTGCCGTCTGGAGGCCTGCTGTAAGAGGGCCGAGAAACACGTACCACTACCGTACCAACCAACATCGGGAAGACTCTGGAACTGATCTGTGATCTTGGGAATGGCAGTGGCGATGATGGAGTTGTCTGACGCAAACCATCAGCTGGGTTACCGTCATCATCATACGGTGGTAAACACCTACCCAGGGCCATTGTGAAGACACTGAGACACAAAGCAAGCACGATCAGGCTGAGCGTCATGCCGGTAGGATATTCGGCCCCATCCTCTCGGGTTTGCACCTGCTGTATCCTCTGCCCAGATTTAGAGGTGGCCGTTGGCTGCCGAGCCAGGGAGTTTGGTTTCTCGTTGTTCATATCTTCAACTGATGTCTCGATAGTAGGGATCGCGGACCCAACGTCCCCATCTGTTTGCTCTCCGGTGGCCGATGCTTTGTCGATGTCGGACAAGCTTGTCGTGCTCAGGACGAAGATGGGCTGGGGTGATATACTTGCTTTGTCCATGTTCGCCATGAAGTTCGATATCGACGACAGGGTATCATACAACCAAGACCAAGGACCTTGATGAACTGGGCGGGTAAGAATGGAGGGAACAGAGGCCAATGGACGAGCTGAATAGAAAAGCAGGTCATCTAAATACTGGCAAGTAAAAGCACCATAATGGTCCATAAACTTCCATCGTGACCCTCGCTCATTTGCAAATCAATTCATCCTGACTCATCTTACGCGATCGGAGACAAGCGGGTGCTTGACCGCATTGCATACTTTCAATGAGTCTAGGTCGACAATTAGCACAATTAGCTTTCCTTGGCACCCTTCGGGCCAGCCATGCCGGCCGCCGGGGTGTCCCGAGCTGTCGGAAAGTGTCCGTTTCGACCCGTCGCCGAGTTCAACCATCCCACGCTAACTTGGCTGAGCCCGGCTGGGATGCACATTTGTCAGACGAAGTCCCGGACGCGGGGTGATTTCTGCCCGGGTCCTCTGGGACAAAGACCCTGATGTCCGAGTAAATGACAGAAAAACTTCCGGGCTTAGGTAATAACGTTAAGAGTAATCTGACAGGTGGATTTGATGACGCAAGTGTTGAGAACTTTGGAGCGCGCCTTGGGCGAGAAAAAAGAGGGAAGCTGCGAGTCGGGACCGACAAAATATTTTTGGCCCTTGTCGTCGACTTCTCAGCTCCACCTAACGTTATTGTTCTTGCGCTTACTTTTTTCAGGTCAATATCCTGGACCTTAGGTGCCGAGCTGAATGCATGTGTGTAGGTGCCTACCACTGCATTAAACCCGCGAACCGACTGCACCTGGATGTCGCCGATTATCTCCGGCAGTACGGAGTAAGGTATTGCGAACTGGGAAAAAGTCCGGTAACAAGGGAATTTTGAGGAACGAGACGGAGAGGGTCGGATTCCAAAATATCTCGTAGTACCGCTTGCATACATACGGAAAAGCGTTAACCAGGAATGCCGTAGGAATAGGGGCCCAGGGGGCCTCAGCCCTGCGGAGCATCAATGGGACCGTGCTCCGGACCCGACGTTTTAGGGGGGCCGCAAGATGAATGGATCGTTTCTCCCGTGCCGGAGAAAATCGGGGTTTCCAATTTGTAGAATACGGACGCCATCAGAAAACCAAGGTTGACAATGACTTCGAACCGTTCTATTCGACTGCAATAACTGAACCTAGATGTTTATGTTCAATGATTATACCCACTAGGCACAGGCTGCCAATGTTAGCATGCTTACTGTTCAGTCCTCCACATGGGGTACTTGAGTCAGAGCTGTCACCAAAAACCATCACAAACGAATGCCACCTAGGGGCCTTACATGCACGATCGCATGTACTAAACGCAACCGGTGCCTATTGCCATCCATATCTGATGCTCTTTCAAAGTTGACAACCTCGATGCAGTCCAGAACATCTCACCACCCCAAGCTGTGTGAGGGAGAGGGAGACTCGTCAGCGATGGAGCCCCGGACTTTGACGAGCGGGTCAAACAGTGGAGTCCACTGGCAAGTTCTGAAGAGCCGGCGGGTCTGGCCAGTCTTTACTTGATTGGAGCGACTCTTGCAGCAGCTGCAACGTCGAGTTTTCTCAAGATTTGTACGCCGCAATGAGCGGTTTGGGTTCGCGTACGCGATCCCGGTCTCGGCGGAAGGGGATACTCGAATTCTCAGGCACTGGCGGTCGGTCAAGAACCCTGAAACTCGAGACATAGGGGGCTTTTTTTGTTCATGACATCACCTACCATTCTGTTCTCTATAGTTTGTTTGGGTTAAGATATTCGCGACCATGAGTGATTCTTTCAGATCCATTCTCCAGACGGTCGTGCCTGACGACGGTACGCGCGACTCGCTCATCAGCTCCGTCATTCCATTCCTGTTAGGCAGCGTAGCTGAGATCGCAAAGGCCTTGCGCGAATCGCACCATGTCGCGACCATGGGTACTGCCAACTCGTTTGGCGATAACCGTAGGATCCTCACTTTGCCTTGCTGAGCCATAACACAGCTAACACACAGCCGCAGAACTCAACGTGGACGTGGAGGCCGAGAAACTGATCCGCAAAGCCATCTCACGCTGTCCCTTCATCCTCACCGCCAGCAGCGAAGAAGACCCCGTCGAGCGCGCCGTCAGGGACAAGTCCGGAACGGGGCAGTACTGCGTCGCCTTCGACCCGCTCGACGGGAGCTCCATCATCCCCGCCAACTGGACCGTCGGAACCATCCTCTCCATCTGGGACGGTCCGTCGGCGCTGGGGCAGGTCCCCGCACAGCGACAGGTGGCCGCCATCCTGGGCGTGTATGGCCCGCGCACAACCGCCGTTGTGGCCGTGCGGATCCCCGAGACGGGCAGGAGGACGTGTTTCGAGGTCGCCCTCGACGACAAGGGCTGGATCATGACCAAGTGGCGCGTTACGCGGCCCACTCTCACTCTCCTCAGCTCAAACTCGACAGGCGCCTCCTACTTCTCCCCCGCGAACCTGCGCGCCGCGGCCCAGGACCCGCGCTACATGTCCCTTGTGACGAGCTACATTGCGCGGCAGTACACGCTGCGGTATGCGGGAGGGCTGGTTCCCGACGTCGTGCATATGCTGGTTCAGGGCAAGGGCGTCTACCTCAGTCCCGTGACGGCGCAAAGTAAAGCCAAGCTCAGGCGGCTGTATGAGCTGTGTCCGTTGGCGCTGGTGGTGGAGTGCGCGGGTGGCGAGGCGGTCGATCCGAGCGACGGGCGGCGCGTTCTGGAGACGGTGGTGACGAGCTGCGATGAGAGAAGTGGGGTTGTGTTTGGGAGTGGGGAGGAGGTGAGGGCGGCCGTGGGCGTGCTGATGGGGAAGGAATAAGGTATGTAAAAGTGTAAGTGCTCACTTTTGGGTGTAATGAGTTTTTAAGCGTTGCAGGATAAGTCAGGTTGTGGAATCCCAGATTGAGATTGCTGGCGCTCACAGATCAGGATGAGCGGTCGGTTGTGACGACAACGATCAGTCCTCACTGTTGGTTGCATGGCTGTTAGCATACGACTGGAGACACATGTATGGAATGATGCGATTGGATGCAATGCAATTGTGAACAGCCTAAGTAAGGGAAAGAAAAGCTTGAAGGAGACAGTACTGGGAAAAAGCGATTGAGAACTCAGAACTCGTGACTGACGGGATTTTCCGCAAAAGTTATTCTACTGTGTACTGTACGCACGTCCCGATTTTTATATCTCAGGAAGGCGCGTTTTCACGCGATGCAACCTCCGGGGAGCCGAGGCAGGTAACGTTAAGGTTGCGCTTACCCATTTTGTTTCTCATGACTCACAATTCACAAAATCAGATTGCAGAGACGGTTCAAATGACAAGAAAACAGGTAATTGTTCTACTTGGTCCCTCAGATATATACCCTCAGAAACTCAACCAGGGCCATCATGGCCATGGCCTGGCCATACGGCATGCTGGTTATGGGAATATCCTTGTAGTGCTGCAGCGTCGTGCCCATTGCCGTCCCAAACGACGTGTTCAACAGCTCCCCGTCGGCGTCAATGTTCTCCAGCACGGCCCTGACCGCCTTCACCGCAACCGCCTCGTGCTCCCTGCCAATGTACCTCTTCCGCTGCGCCTTCAGGATGCCAAACGCAAACCCGGCCGTGGCGCTCGCTTCCACATATGATCCTTCCTCCTCGGGAATGTCCAGTAGCGTCCTCCACAGCCCGGACGGGGTTTGCAGCGGACCCAGCGCCTCGCACTGCGCATCGAGCGCGTTGATAAGGTGGCTCCCGATGGGGTCGCTCTGGTCCATCCCGAGCAGCTCCAGGAACTCCGGGATTGCAATCGTCAGCCAGCTGTTGCCGCGGGCCCAGCGGGCGCGGGCGAAATTGTGCCCGCCCTCGGCGAAGGTCCAGCCGTGGAAGAAGAGGCCGGTGCGCGTGTCGAACAGGTACTGCAGGTGGACAAGGAACTGCTTCTTGGCCTCGGCGACGTAGTGCGGGCGGCCCAGCACGCACCCGATCTTGGCCAGCGGCAGCACCGTCATCATGAGCGTGTCGTCCCACAGCTGCTGGTCGTGGTCCGACAGGTACGTGACATGCTGCATGCCCCCGCGCCGCGTGCGCGCCAGGTCGTGGTACGCCCATTCCCCCCAGGCATCGAGCCAGGGCAGGTAGGTTGCGTTGTGCGTACGCTCGTAGACGTGCGCCAGCGTCAGGAACACGGCCATGGTGTTGATGTTTTTTGTGGTGCCCCCGGCCGCGAACCGGTCCCGGAACCAGTCCTCAATGATTTGCAGGTACCGCGGGTCGCCCACCAGCTCGTAGTACTGCCAGATGCCGTACAGCCCAATGCCGTGCGTCCACTCCCAGTCGTTCCACCCCTTGGTGTCGATGATGCGCCCATCGTCGAGCTTGAGCAGGAACTCCCCGGTCTTGTCCTTGATGTTGACCATGCCGTCGATCAAGAGTCGGATCTTGGCGTGCACATCGCTCGACTTGATCCCGTGGATCTGGGCAGGCATCTTGTCGACGGTCTGATAGGAGTCGCCGGAGTGGCAAGTGTGGATGGCAGAATCAAGATGCAACGACCACAATAGTCGCGTCCCCAAAAAGATGTTGTGGTGAGTTGAGAAGCTTGCAATGACGACACACAGACCTGTTCAACTTTGCCGTGACCCGGTAGTTCGGCGCATATGCAAGCCCGAATTCACGCTCAATCGGTCCTGAATCCCGGAACCAGGAACTGTTCTCCGTCCAGAACGAGCGCTCGAGCAGCAGGAACAGGGCAATTTACTCGTTCGTGCTTGGTGGAGAAACAGTCCATTATCCCGAGCAGATCCATCGAGAGACTCAAGCGAGCTGCCATCGTCTGACGCGGCCGTAGAGCTCGGTGTGATGCTGGCCGAGAAGACTTGGGGAATTAGAAATTGCAGGTAATCCTGGGCCTGCTCGGCCTTATTTCCGGCGAGGCAAGCAGCCAAGCATGGCTCCTAATTTCTGTGGACTAGGACGTGTATGGATAGGCAGGGAAAGGCGTGAGATGGCTTCTCCACGCGGGGATGAGGGGAATGTGGATAACCGTTTAGCCCGGTCAATCTTGAATCTGGGGTTGGCTGCTCGGGTTTGCGGGGGACACTCGATATTCCCGACTTCAGGAACAGCGGGCCCACATCGGGAGGTTGGGGAACTGGGCCCTGGATACGACGATACTGGGTGCATGGGCATGGTGAGTTGGTCCCCAGGCCACCGGTGAGATAACGGCCTGGGGTAAAATTCAGACTTTGCAGAAGCGAGCGAGGCAGGCACCTGGACGGTCAACATACGGGCGGGTTAATAAAGCCTTCATCAATCCCGGATCCAATCGCCCGGAAACTCCTGTTCTCCCCTTCACTACCCCTGAGGGCTGACCGGTCCTTCTCAATTCACATCGGCCGTGGAATTGGGCTTCCGCTTGTACGCCCATATCAACAGTTTCACCGGTTCTTTCTTCCACACCAGGGTCGGCGACATGGATCCCGAAATCGCTCGGCCGGCCAGCAGACCGGGTGGTCAGGCTGATGATGTGATGAAGCCCACGCTCGACCAGATCGAGCGCCACGACCGCCCCATCTCGCCCGAGACCATAAGGGAAAAGGACAGGCAAAACTTCGAAAGAGTCGACGAAGAAGTCGCCAAATACGCGTCCGATACGGCCATCGTGATTCCGCCCGAGAAGAATCTCGAGCTCCGCCGCATGATTGACCGCCGCGTCTTGGTCATCATGATTGCAACCTACTTCTTGCAGGCCATTGACAAGGGCACCTTGTCGTTTGCTTCCATCATGGGCATCAGGAAAGATACCGGCCTCGTCGGCCAAGACTACAGTTGGCTCACGACCTGTATCTACATCGCCGTGCTCATCGTCGAGTACCCCCAGAACTGGATCATCACCCGTGTTCCCATCGCCAAATACCTGAGCTTCAGCATCATCGCTTGGGGCACCGTCCTGGCCTGCACGGCCGCCTGCCACAACTTTGCCGGGCTCGTTGTAGTTCGGACCCTGCTTGGTATCTTCGAGGCGGCATGCCAGCCTGCCTTTGTGGTTCTCTCAGCCATGTGGTATCGCCGAGAAGAGCAGGCAGCTCGCGTGACGTATTGGTACATGATGAACGGGTTTGTTTACCCCCCTGACCCCTTTTGTCAATACAGTTTCGGCGTTCTAACCTTGGACAAACAGTGCCCAACAAGTGGTTGGCGGTCTGCTCGCCTACTGCTTCAGCCTGATCGAGAGCGGGCCGCTCAAGTCCTGGCAGTGGCTCTTTCTCAGCTACGGCGTCATCTCGGTTCTCTATGGCGTCTTCGTCGGCTGGTACATGCCTGACTCGCCCATGCGTGCCAAGTGCTTCAGCGAGGAGGATAAGCACCTGATGGTGGAGCGAGTTAGGGACAACCAGACGGGCCTGCAGAGCCGCAAATTCAGAAAGGATCACGCCATCGAGGCCCTGAAAGACCCCCAGGTCTATGGTTATGCCCTTATCGCTTTGACTACTACCCTGCCGACCTCGGGCCTTGGCGCGTTCCAAGGCATCATCATCAGCAGCTTTGGGTTCACAGTTCTGCAGACGCAGCTTCTGGCTATGGTTTTGGGCTTCTACATCATCATCGTCCTGCTAGGCTCGGTGTGGATTGTCAAGAAGACCAAGCAGAATCTGCTCGTCATGCTGGGCTTCGTCATCCCGTACGTTACTGCCAAACTCTCTTCATGCGTGTGCTTGGATGACCATTTGACTGACGTGGCTAGGTCCTTCATCGGAACCATCATCTTGATGATCGTACCGCCCGACACCATGGCCCGGAAGATTGGCCTGCTCATCTGCTACTACAGTGAGTCGCTAACACGTGCCGTGGTCGAGAGAACAAGACATGCTAATTGATGTCAGTTACGCTCTCGTTCTGGTCAGCGCAAACGTTGGCTCTGTCCATGATCAGCAGAAATGTCGCCGGAACAACGAAAAAGAGTGTTGCAGTGGCGACAAACTTCATCTTCTGGAGCGCAGGAAACGCTATCGGTTAGTCCCCTCTGATCCCGGCCCTTCCCTCCACGTGTACGGCCATGTGTTAATGGCATGTTACAGGTCCTCAAGTCTTCCTAGACTGGGATGGCCCACGGTACTTCATCGCCTTCGCAACCCATCTTGGGTGCTACTGCCTGCTGGTCATAGTCATTATAGGGCTGCGGTTTTACCTTACGCATCAAAACAAGAAGAGGGATCGGATGGCGGCGGAGGGTATCCTCGCAGCCGACCCAAAAAATATTATCCACAGTTTTGAGGATCTCACGGACCAGCAGAACAAGTCCTTCAGATATGTATACTAGGCCGGAGCACAGGGGCTGTTAGGCTGTATCCTGACAATTGAATTGAGTGAAAGAGCATCAAACATTCTTGATTTGCCCTTGCATGCGGTGAGAACATGACTTGACATGCAACGGGGTACTGCTTGCAATCGGGGAAGGGCAGTGGAATGTACTGTTTGGCATCGGACAGCCCTGGTAGCGTTCACGACTTCAGGTTGAGCCGTCAATGAGATGGGGCGGAATCCCACACTAGCTACATCGCAACGGCGTCGCTTAGGACATGAATCTGAATGAAAAGCTCTTCGGTTCAACAGTAAACCATAGCTGCTTGATGCTCGGTTCGTTGCTTACATGTTTTAGACCCCGTAAGGGCATAGTCCGCCAGTAGTGATAACCTAGTCGCATAAAGCATCCGCCTCAAAACAATGACTCTCGCACGTTTAAGCGATTACTCCACTGGCATCTGATGCCATAGAAATATATTTGTTCCCCGCCCTTTGCGGAAAGCGTCTACTGCGGAGTTGACCGGCGGGGCTCGTCCTTGCCCTCCATCACTCCTCCGGACGCAGGGGTTCTGGTGCGCGACGATTCCCCATCGCCTTGAGAACACGCTTTGTCCGGGGTGGCTACAGGTACCGCCTCCGAACGAGACAGCGCATTGGGGTAAGTGGTGTTTGTAATGGCGGAGTCACGGGGGTTGGCCAAGGTGTTTCCTAAGCGATCGTGGAAGGTAGCCTGTGGCGTGGGGGAATCGCTTTGCCGATGTTCTGAAGCTCCTACACGGGTGGGTCTGACAGGAGACAAAGAAGGCTTGCCTAAACCGAGTCTATACTGTGAGAACTTGCTCATGTCGACGTTCGGCACGGGCCCTATAACGTTGGAAGATACCGTTCGACCCTTGGATCCTGGCAGTGAAAAGGAGAAATGGTGAGGTGGGAATGGCACCCCAAGTGGTTGATTCAGAAGTGATTGTGTAAGTGGCGAGTCAAGACCAGGAGACAAAGCCGTTGATTCAGAGAGCAATTGGAATTCGGTACCCTGAGTACTCAGAAGGCCATGCTCGGCTGCCACTGTTGGCGTGTTTGTTGGGACTCTGAGAGTCATGGGGTCCTCCTCGAGACTGGATCCCGAGATCTGCATTGCTTCTTGGCCATGCAAGGAATTGTAGTCGGGCATGCTGGTGTCGGTGCTGGATTGATCCCTCATTTTATATGAACTTGCTGGCCAGGATATCTTCCCTTCCCCGGATTTCGTAGTTCCGGACCCCGTCATAGAGACTGCCCGCTCGAGGTATGCTTCCGGGTCGTTGAATAGATCATGGGGCGGCAACGGAGTAAGGGGACCTGGGTTGCACCAGTCGTAGTACTGTGGTTGGAACGTTGGATTACCGGAGAAGCTGGTGCGTGCCTGAGACTGGAACCCGCCACCTGCCATGAAGGGAGCAGGAAACCGCTGGCTCTTGACAGTTTGGGACAACCACGGTCCTCTGCGGGGTGAATGTGTATGCGAGCCAGCGCCCGCCTCCAGCTGGTACGTCGGCACCTGCATCGCCGGATTCACTGATGGACCGTTCCACATGGATGGATTCGGCCATGCGATTCCACTACTCTCAAGGATTTCTGCAACCAGCGGTTAGCAAAAAAGTATCCGTTGGCAACAGCACTCTTAGGGAGCCTACCCAGCGGAGCATGTTGGAAAGAGAATGCCACAACATTCCTAACTCGCTCAACCGGAACGGAAACCGAGTCCCGCGGAAAGCCTTCGCTGATGATTACCTTGATCCGGCCAACGTCGTCTCCCGGGTGCCAAAAGTTCTGGTAGAGAAGTTCGCGCCGAAAAAGGGGAAACCGGAGCCTCTCAAGCTCGCCGGTCTTCGTAAGCTCTACCCGGGAAGTCAGCACCATACCAGCGGTGTTTTCGTAGAACATGCAGCCTACCGAAAGTGTGGGTGACCAGATGCGGGCCGTTGACTTCACGGTCGAAAATGGTTGTACTGAAAGACTTGTGAGTTGTCTTGCACCTCCCGCTTCTGTCAGTCGGGGATGACGCACGCAACCAACCGTCCGTCAAGCATAACTCGAGCCTCGAACTTGACAAGTTCGGTGTGTTTGCTGTAGGCACGAGTTGTCTGGCTGATCTCCGGGATACGCCAGCAGTGCAGAGATATCTGGAAAGGGGACCCGGGCGGCAAGCTGGGCACGAAGCACGTCATGATAGGCATGCCCACGGCGCCATGGATATGGGACAGCTCAAAGTCGGGCACCACGTGGCAGGCAACTTTGAACTCCTTGAACGGTATAACGGCGTCGCGGCCCACGGGAAACAGGATAACATCCCAGTCCTCATAGCGCATCTCGGGTCCAGCCTCGGAGAAACCTGCGTCGAGATTGGGGAAGAATGTTAAGAATTGTCCGATGAAGATGGAGCGCGGCCTCAAAACAAAGTGAAGCAAAGAAAAAGAAGCAAGTCAACAGACAGACAGCAAGACCGAGAGTGCAAAAGATTGATAGCCAGACCGTGATCCTCAATACCCGGGGGAAATTTCCAGACGGTGCTTGGGACGTCATCGGCCTAGCGGGCGACATTCCGGAGTAAGATCGGGGAGATAAGGACGGGAGTAACATGGAAGGTTAGGGATATTGACTGCGATTGGACATTTTGCTCTCGAGCACATGCTGTTGAAGGCTTGCTCCTTCCCGCTGGAGATTCCGAAAATGCTTCGACTTGATATCGGACGGGGTGCCCCTGGAGCGTTGGCAGAGGATGGGCTGTTATCGATTGGCCAAGGCGGATTGGGCTGCGCAAGTTGACAGGGCCCGTTCCCAGTCCTGGACGGGATCGCGTTTGGAATACCTTAGGTACGTACCTATGTGCTCATGAGGGGGCAGGGACTTGCCCTGTGGAGGAGGCAATTGCGATCCGATCGGCCTTGGATTGTGAGAGGCACCTGCTGCCCGAAGCGCGTGCGAATGTCGTGGAAACTGCCTGCCGCAGGCTTCCAGTTCGCGGTCAGCTGAAGTCAATGGGTTAGGTGAGCTCAATGGTTCCCGAACCAACCATGACCCTAGCATCACCGCCCAATCAACCCTAGAACTCCAGAATACTTTCCAGGTTTGCTCTTTCCAATGCCACCTCGTTCCTGTTGACATGCCCTGGCTCCCGAGATCTTACACATACGATAGAAGCAACAGAGGCCGGCAGCCTCGTGAGAAGTACCTTGGTTTCACTGAACCGCCGCTCGACAGATCCGGACAAAGGGACTCGATTGACCACACTTAGGCTGTTACTTGTATATACACAGTTCCCACACTCGGCTCTACGGGTCCGGATCGCCCTCCATCCTGGCCTATATAGTTGATTCAGCAGCTTGCTCCTAGGCGGAATACTAAGTGTCGGACTTACCCTGACTGCGCCGGGCCCACCCAGCTCCCTTTCCAGACCGCCCTCAAATTCGCGGGGGTAGCTGACCCGGTCCGGGTACGTCAGTTTCACAACGTAGACGACGCTGAGAAAGGCGACGATGAATGCGCCGATTTGAGCCAAACCCTTCCCAGGTGTGATCCAGGTGTATTCGTATGTAGAGAACATGCCCAGGATATCATGGTCTTCGTGAACCGGCTCGCCAAAGTTCCTCCGCTCTTGCTTATCCCACCAGTCGGCATGAGGATCGCGGAATTGGCGCTTGATGCGAGGGGGATTGATGTAGCCGCCGTTCTGCGCAAAATTGTCAGCCCCAGCGGTGCTGTCCTCCACAGTCTGCTCAACACACCATGTCCGGGTCCTGCTCGGGCGTGAGGTTTGGGTAGTCTGAGTCGGGGTACTTCTCGTCGGTCTTGCTTCTGCCGACCATGGACTCGGGGAGGAAGGTTCGTTGTTGGATGAGAGGGAGTCGTCGTGGGGGCACTGTCGCCATTCTGAAGGGCGACGCCCGCACGATTTGACGCGACAGCATCTATTGCAAGGTTAGCTATGTGCCTCTGCAAATTCTCACGGAAAAGGCGACATGCTTTGGCGTCGGTGGTGCCGCAATGCCGAGTCAATTGGTACGATGTCGTGATGATGCTTGACCAAGCACCGTTTGGGAGCTTGCAGTTGGTTGGGTGAATTACCTAAGCCCTCCACTCGATTGGAAGTCACTGATTGGTTAGCCTTTCCACTACTGTTTGCGAATGCCAAGATCGCGATTCTTCTGCGGCCTCAGGCAACAACGTCGCGCAGCACGCCGCGGCATTCACCTTCAGGCAGCCGACGGGGATGGAATTTTTTTGTCAGTCAAGTTTCGCTGGGAAACAGGACATTTCAGCACAAAACACAGCGCAGCCGGCTTCACAGAACGCTGGTCATGCCCAAAATCAGATAGGAAAAACTTTGAAACTCTGCCATTCGCCTGACGCTATTTTCATCCTGCCAGATGCCAGATTCGTCGAGATCTCGGCCGTCTCTGCCTCGCGGTGTCCCTCGCTACTATGACAGAGATCGCGTCTCCCGACCCAACGCAAGCAAATCCGCCACCTGCAACAAATGGTGATAATGGTCTGCACCACGACGAGCAACCATCATCAATCAACGGCCATGCATCTGCCGACTCCGTTCAACAACAGAATTCTAATAGTCCTCAACCCATCAATGGATTCAAAAGTCCCAGAATCCCGCTGCAGGTTCCGAACGCGGCCGAAGAACAACAGACTCGGGTCGAAACCCCACAACGCAACGACGTCGACAGCACCCGCGAGACACACAGCGCAGATGACGGCCGTCCTGCGAAACGGCGCAGAATTCGCGATACGACCCCGAATAATTCTGCGCGCCGACCCAAGCCAGAGTCCCCGCCTTGGAAAAAGGTTGAGGCTGATGGGCCATCTACCTTCGTGACCGAAGATGGTCGACGCAAGTCTGGACGCATCAACGCCGTACCCCTGGAACTGCAGAGTGGCGACAAGAGGATAACGAGGCGAGCACTATATGGCCAGCAATCTAGCCCCCCCAAAACCCGCCAGTCCCCGGCCAACGGCAACGTGTCCGTCCAGACTCCTTCTGCCGCACCCAAGCGCTCAGCACCCTCCAGCAAACCCCCCTCTGCTAAAGCGTCAGCCACTAAGCCCCCGCTGCGAAAACCCCCTACGCGTGATACGAAGACCGACACACGAAGCCGACGACGGTCTGCATCTCCCCGGCGTCCGACTACACCTCCGCGACAGTCTCTCGGTACGCGCCGTTCCACGCGTCATCTCAGGGGAGCCGAGGATGATGCCGACAGCACGTCCCCTGGCGCTGTGCGCACCACTCCACGCATCAAGCTACGGGTTAGACCGCCTTTGACCACCATACCGCTGGTCCATCGGGACCAGGCGAACGTGCGGCCGAAGCTGGGGCCGTCCTTTGAAGAGTTCTTTCAGCGTGCCGCCGATATCCCTGTTGAAGAGGGAGGTTTGTTGGTGCCTTCAGAAGATGGCCCTCGATACACGGATGAGATGGCCAAGGAAGATGCGCGGCTCATTCTGCGCGTGGAGAAGGAAGTGGAGCCGGGCGGTATTCTGGACAAGGCAAAGTGCTCTGTGTTTGAGCCTGAGCCCGAAGAGGAACCTCCTCGGCAGTGGGCACACATAGACCATCTCGCAAAGGCCATGAGCAACTTCCGGAGGCTCATGCTTCTTGAGCAGCAAAGGCACCGGGCAGCGGCAAAACGCCTGGCCATTGCCTGCGAGGCCGAGTGGAGGCGCCGGAACCCGCAACCAAAAACTGCGGAAGAGATCGAGCTCGAGGAGATTGAGAAAAGCAAGGGTAGATGGCGACAGGTTGCAAAATCTGTTGCGGGCCTGTGGGATAATGTGAAGACGGAGGTCAATCGCCGGCGACTTGCTGAGTGGGAGGCAGAGGAACAACGTCGGGTCAAAGCCGCGTTGAATCAGGCAGTCAATCTCTCAGAGCAAAAGTTACAGGCGAGGACGGCTCGTTTCGACACCGACGAGTTATCGGATGAGGACTTGGAGGACGAAGACATGGGATCCGAAGTTGATGATGCCAGTGGCACTGATATGGACAGCGATAAGCCCGAAGGTGTTTCGGAAGATGAAGATGATGATAACATGTCATCTTCAGGCGAGGAGGAAGATAAGGAATCTGTCTTGTCCGATGAAGGTCTCACCCAAGAACAGCTGCGAGCGAAGTACGCCAACTTACCGGCCTTGAACCCCGACGATACCGCAACATCGAACAAGCCCAAGGACGAAGGCGACGACACAAGCGACGAGTCTATCGATATGGACGACGATCTGGGGTCTAGCGAGGATCAGTCAGGTACAGACGATGAGGATCAGGCTAGCGACGATGCCGAGTCCGGGGATGAGCCTTCCGGTCTCCTGGGTCTCTTCTTTAAAAAGTCCGAGCTGAAGCAACTGAAAGCAGAGGCTGCTGCGTCTGATGCAGGGGTACAAGACGATGATGTGGAAATGGCCGATGCGGATACCTCACGCAACCTCGTATCTGCCTTACACGGGGAGGGTGCATCTGAGATCGCTGGAGAAGGTCATGAGCCCCCTACATCTGAACCCCAAGCTGGATCGGCAGCGAATGATTCTGTGCAGCAACCCGCCGAGAATGAGCAGACTGCTCACTCAGGCCACTCAACGTCAGTTCGTAATCCCAACAAATCAACTCTGGAAGAGGCCGAGGAGCAGATGGCATTGGAACCAAGATTACCGCCAATATTACCAAAACAGTTGACCGGCTCGGAAGGCGCGGTTGAGCCTGGATTGGGCTCGGAGGAACTCTCCACTAAGCCGGAATCCCTGGAAGACACTGCCATGCCGGATACTCTGCCAATATCCGCTGAACCTTCACCAGGGCATGCCGAGGCCGCGGCCACCCAGACTCCGGTGGCGGCCCAACACCCAAGCCCGGAGACGGAGCCAATCACCAATATCCACAGTCCATCCAGAAGCCAGTCACCACGAACATCCGATGACACCAAGCCGACCGATGTCGAGACCCCGACATCACTGTCACTCCTCCATGTGCCCAAGACCGACAGCCGGTCCACTTCACCACAGCCAGCCGCTCCTAGGACCGAGATTCCCTTCCTTCTGCGAGGGACCCTGCGCGAGTATCAGCATCTCGGCCTTGATTGGCTTGCGGCACTGTATGCGAACAACACCAACGGTATCCTTGCAGACGAAATGGGACTGGGGAAAACGATACAAACCATTGCTTTGCTCGCACATCTCGCCTGTCACCACGAGGTCTGGGGCCCGCACCTTGTGATCGTGCCGACGAGCGTAATGCTGAACTGGGAGATGGAGTTCAAGAAATGGTGTCCCGGGTTCAAGATTCTCACTTACTACGGAAACCAGGAGGAGCGTAAGCGGAAACGTCAAGGGTGGACGAACGATGATGTCTGGAATGTTTGCATCACTTCCTATCAAATGGTCCTCCAGGACCAGCAGGTATTCCGGCGAAGGCGCTGGCATTACATGATCCTCGACGAGGCGCACAACATCAAGAACTTCAAATCTCAGCGGTGGCAGACCCTGCTGGGGTTCAACACGCATTCTCGGCTGCTTCTTACCGGCACTCCATTGCAAAACAATCTAACCGAACTCTGGTCCCTGCTCTACTTCCTAGCCCCTCCTGAGAATGGGGAAGGCGGCTTTGTCGACCTAAAAGAGTTTCACAACTGGTTTTCAAGGCCAGAATCGCAGATCCTCGAGAGCGGACGGGAGCAGCTGGACGACGAGGCGCGAGCCATCATCTCCAAGCTCCACAAGGTCCTCCGGCCCTACCTACTCCGCCGCTTGAAGGCGGATGTCGAGAAGCAGATGCCAGCCAAGTATGAACATGTCGAGTTTTGCAGGCTGTCCAAGCGTCAGCGAGAGCTGTACGACGGATTCCTCTCCCGGGCAGATACGCGGGAGACTCTCGCCTCGGGCAATTACATGTCTATAATCAACTGCTTGATGCAGCTCAGGAAGGTGTGCAATCACCCTGACCTCTTCGTCGACCGCCCGATCATGACGTCGTTTCGCATGCAAAGATCTGTCGCGGCGGATTACGAGCCTGAAGAGCAGTTCATCAAAAAGACACTTCTAGCTGAGAAGCCGATGAAGGTTGTGAGCCTCAGCTTCCTTAACATGATCCCAACCCAGTATGAGGGCATGTCAACCACACACGCAGACCGAATTGCTCAGCTGAGCACTCATCGAATCCTTCTGGACCTCAGGGAGGCGCAAAGGACCCGAGCCAACAACGCCCACCACACTTTGGATCCCGCCAGCGTCAAATCCAACATTGTTTATCTCGAAAGTGCCGCACGCTGGGGCCGATTTGAGGAGCTCCAGCATTGTGTCTACCTGAACGCACTTCGGCGTCAGCAGCGACCAATCTATGGCAAACACCTCGTCGATCTCTTAACGCTTGATACCCACCTTCGGCCCTACAAGCAAAAACCCAGGGTGCCCCAGAAAATCATGAGCTGGTTCGAAGAAGACTCACAACTGTTGCACAATGCAATCCCAACGCTCCAGCAACGCGCGAGCTCGATGGAAATGACGATAACAAAGTTCGCCTGTGTTACCCCGGCTGTTGTGACGGGTGACATGACCAGGTTGCTACTCGGCGCACGGGGTGTTGAGGCATTCGAAGAGGCGGACTTGAAGCTGTCCGCCCCTGTGAAGTATGCACCGTACATGCCAAAGGAGCGCCCTTCTGACCCCTGGCACGAGGCCCGAATGCGGTTGACCATCCAATTTCCCGACAAGCGACTTTTGCAGTATGATTGCGGAAAACTGCAGGCGCTGGATAAGCTTCTCCGCAAGTTGCAAGCTGGCGGTCATCGCGCCCTCATCTTTACCCAAATGACCAAAGTGCTCGACATTCTTGAACAGTTTCTCAACATCCATGGGCACAAGTATCTTCGCTTGGACGGAGCCACCAAGGTGGAACAGCGGCAGATTCTGACGGACCGCTTCAATCACGACCCCCGCATCCTGTGCTTCATCCTCTCGACACGGTCCGGCGGTCTTGGCATCAACCTCACGGGCGCCGACACGGTCATTTTCTACGACCAGGACTGGAACCCAGCCATGGACAAGCAGTGCCAAGATCGGTGTCACCGCATAGGGCAGACGAGGGACGTGCACATCTACCGCCTCGTCAGCGAGCACACCATCGAGGCCAACATACTCCGCAAGGCGAGCCAGAAGCAAATGCTCGACGACGTTGTCATTCAAGAGGGCGAGTTCACGACGGACTACTTCAACAAGCTCTCGGTGCGCGACGTCATTGGCACCAACGGCGAGGTCTTGGCGAATGAGGACGACGTGGCGGCCAACGCGGCCATGGACCGCGTATTGGGCGGGGTTGAGAGCAGCAATCCACGCAGCGTGGGCCGTGTCCTGGAGCAGGCCGAGGACAGGGAGGACGTGGCGGCGGCGCGCGTGGCCGAGAAGGAGATCCAGCAGGACGATGCCGATTTCCTCGAGCAGCAACCCGCTTCGGGCGCGGCGTCGGGCGTCTCGAGCGTCAGGCAGGGCACGCCCAGGGAAGGCACTACCGAGCCGCCGCCGCTTGCTGTTGGCAAGACAGGCCAGTCGTCTGCCTCGGGTCTCTTTGTGGAGTCGGCGGCGGCAGAGGATGCGGCCGTCGCTGGCGACGCAGGTGGTGAGCCTGTCGAGGTCGAGTACAACGCTTTTGGCGAGCGCATGCGTACCGTCGATGACTACATGCTTGGCTTCATGGCTGCTGCTCTGGAGGGGACGCCGCTTGAGCTGCCGAAGGATAAGAAGAAGAGCAAGAAGAAGGGCAAGGATACCAGGAAGCGGTGAGGTGGTTAGTTCCCTTATCCACTCGGTCTCGGGTTCGCGGGGGCCGGTTGAGGGGCCGGTTCGTGGGCTGCTTGGTTACAACGTTTGTATTATTATGGCATGCTATATGTGAGAGATAGGAGTTTGGGTGTCCTGTAGATGGAAGGGCGGGCATGCAACTGGGGTTATCACGTGGGTTGAGATCATGTTTCTCATTCTTAGACTGATGTTGGAAGGGGTATGGGGTCGGTTTATTTCCCGCTCGGTCCAGTACGGTGTTGGTGGATGGCGGCGGATGATGAAGTAGAGTTTCTTTCGTTGCTGCAACTCGGAGAGCGGAAAGGCAAAATATTTGGTTCCAAACTCGATCCCCATTCTTTCGTGGTTATGTGGGGTGAGACGTGTGACACATGGCTGCCGCATGGAAGGGCGTAAGGAGGGAGACCGGTCGGCAGAGGGGGAGCACAGTGATTTAGCCTGAAGTGTTTGGATAGGAGCATGCAGTGAGCCCGAAAACACAACATGCAACGCACCCTTATTTGCATACAGTTAGAGTGCCGCTGTGTCTTGGTCTTGCCTCCCTGTCGTTGACATTATATCTAGCATCTTGCTCGGTCTAGGCTGTCCATATCTCGCGGAATCAAGCCTTGCTTTGGCCACAAACAGGTGGCAGGATACATCTCTCATACTAAAACGAGCCTAGGAAGCAGTAGATAACCACGATCAAATCCCACATTGGCACCTCAACCAACCCTGATCTTCTTCACAACAACTCCCGCCACGGCATAACAAACCGCACTGACGCCATACGGCAACCCCAAAGCCACCCCGCCCACACTCAAACCCGCGACCCACAAAGAGGGCATGGCCACGGCGCCCAACAGCGTGCCCGCCGTCCGGACCAGCATGACCACCGAAAAAAGTTGCGTTCCCGGCCCGCTGCCTCTGTCCCTGGCTTGCTGGTGTTGCAGCGCCATGCTGGGCGACCTCAGCAGTGAGTAGGTGAACATGGGCAGGGCAATGCCCAGGGCGTACAGCAGCAGGCTCGGCACCAGGGCCCAGGCCGTCGGCGCCAGGGCGATGGCCAGCGCGCCGAGGACGGAGAAGACCAGGCAGACGTGGGCGTGCGTGATGGTTTCTTTGTCGGCGGCAGTTTCTGGGATGCTGTTGTTGTCTTGGGCTTGGGCTTGGGCTTGGGCTTCGGGGTGGGGTGATGAGCGCCGCCGCCTGCGCCAGCGGACTACGCGTGGAATGAGGAAGGAGAGGAGGAAAAAGTTGAAGAGCGCTTTCAGGGAGAGGAGGTAACCAACTGAGGAAAACTTCCAGTGGTAGCGTTTGGAGATGTACAGGGGCAGGAGCTTGGTGTCGGAGCTTGCGAAGGAGGCGAGGAAGAAGCAGGCCAGGAGGAGGAGGAAGTTGCGGGAGGGCTTGGTGAGGATTGCGAGGATGGTGTGAAAGCGGCTGGCGGTTAGTGAGTGCAGGTTTGTTCGGCGTATGAGACGGGCAGAGGAGGAGAGCAGAGGAGTATTGACGGTGTCCGTGGGATCTTGACATGCTGCCTCTTGATGTGCCTGATGTCCAATCGCTGGAGGGCGCATGGATATAACGGGGATCGCGAGGAGCAAGCTGAAGAGTCCGAGCCACAGCGGGAGCCATAGCAGGGTGGTCATGATTGCCGAAGCGAGGGCGGGACCAAGCTGGAGAGAGAAGATTGAGGAGATGGCATTTGCATATCCAAAGAAGGTCGCCCTGAAGCTGTCAGTGGCTTGAGAGGCAAGAGTTGAGGTGGTGGTTGACAACCTACCGAAGAATATGATCATCGGTGAGATCGGCAATGAGGGAATACACCACAGAGTTAAAGACACAGTCGCCCCCGAGAAAAGACAGGGCAGGCGCAGCCAGAATGGCATTCACCGGAAGGGCCTGATCGAAGTAGCCCACCATAAACGTCCAACCCAGGAGGAAGATACGTGGAACGAGGTTGAGACACAACACGAAGCGATATCCGTAATGGTCAGCTAGCGAAACAAGAGGTATTGTCATGACGAAGTCTAGCAAACAATTTAGCATGCTACATGGTTCGACGGAGTAGGAGTGAAGTGATGCCGGGTTTCCTACCGCCGGCCACCCACATCGCGTCCATGACTCCCTGGATGCGGCCGAGCTGCTGCTGCACCTCATCCAGCTTGCACAACTCCTCGGGAACATTCCCAGCCGGCGGCAGCACCGAGGGATCGTGGGCCGCATAGTAATCGTGGCATAGGCGGCTCTCGACCACACGGCTGACTGGAAGTTGATACAGACTCCAAGCGAGGGTGACCAGAGCGATAAGCAGTAGGAGCGGCCGGATCGCGCGGCGCGGGGCCCCAGGCAAGGACGGGTTAGTAGGCCTCCCATGTTGTGAGCCATGCCTGCCGTCTTCTCCAGACTGTGCATCGTCTGCCACCATCGCAGGGCAAGTGCGAACGGTGCCGGAAAGTCAGGAAAGCTCAGCGAGCCAGCAGCGGGTGTTGATGGGAGCATGGGAAGGGGCCAGACAGAAGGACGTCTGGGGGCCGCGACCAGCCTGCACGGTGCCTGGGAAGGCGCTAACGTTAGCGGGATAATACGCTAAAGTTTGCAGGTAACTCCTTCAAAAGTTCAGCGGGCCGCGGCTTCCCGTCATTTTTTCTTTACGCAAAAAACACGCCGCTGCCGCCAGAAATCGCATGATCGTGAGGAGCTCTCAATTTCAGTTTTGATATGTTGTTCAGGATGTTCGGCATCCGTGGTCATTGATTACCTAGGTGATTTTGAGAGATCTGCGTGTGGCTTCACTTTGCTTTGGAATCCAACACGTGACAGCGCGTTACCCTGGGCCCTGGCCCATTGCGCGCAACGCGCCATGGCGGACCCATCAAGCAGGAGCAGACATGACACCTTTCTGCTTCTACTTCCTGGCATTTGAGGAGAAAACGCGTTCCCCTCAAGCGATTCCTGAGATCTCATATGATCCAGCTGAATCTAATTTGCGATGGACGAGATCCTGGTTTTTAAGCGCATCCGAGAAGCCCCTGACCACACCCTCCGCGCTGTCCTCGCCAGCCTGTGTTCCAAGAAAAGGGTCAGGAGAGAGGCAGATGAGCTGTTCGAAGTGCTCGAGCATGCATCAGCTACGCGTAGAAAGCGTGCAGCGCCGTCTTCCATGCTCCACATCTGCGTGAACTGCAAGGAAGCATTTACTGAGGCAGAGAACACGTCCACCGTGTGCTATCGTCATCCTGGTAGGCATCTGACCTCAGTCTATTACCCTGCTCTTCCCAGTCATAAGCCAAGACTAAGCCTCGTTCTGTCCTCCCAAATTCTCTAGCCAAACTAGTCACAGAGGATGGGAGTTGGGGTTGGAATCGGCACTCTCGTGACGCAGACTGGTGTCGCATGGACGATGATGAGTTGAAAGAGCTCATTCCTCATGGGTATAGTTATACTTGCTGCGACGGTAGAGGTGATGATCCTGGCTGCGCTCCCGACTGGCATCAACAACCCGGGGTCAAGAGGACAAAATTTCATGAGGTCATCCACATATCGAGTGACGACGATCAAGGCACTAATGAAGAGGTCGATGAGGAGGTCTATGGAGAGGACGATGAGGAGGGGGATGGAGAAGGTGATGAGGAGGGTGATGAGGAGGGTGATGAGGAGGGCGATGAGGAGGGCGATGAGGAGGGCGATGAGGAGGGCGATGAGGAGGGTGATGAGGAGGGCGATGAGGAGGGTGATGAGGAGGGTGATGAGGAGGGTGATGAGGAGGGCGATGAGGAGGAGGATGAAGAAGATGATGAAGGAGAGGATGAGGGGGAGGAGGAGGAGGAGGAGGAGGATGAAGGAGACGCTCGATGCAGTTAATGGCATGGTAATGTTCTTTTCCCTCTACAATTTATATCTTCTTCCCACTGCAAGGCCAGAGTCAAGACTTGGTCTAAACAAAGAAGAGGTGGGTTCCCTTCCAGTTGTTTTGGTAACCGTACTCGCCCAAATTAAGGCAGGACAGCTCAACTGAGCCAGCAGGGGGTGTTGACGGGAAGGGCCCGGGGGCAGACAGAAGGATCATTGCTGGCCGCGGCCGGCCTGCGCTATGCCTCGGAGGGCGCTAACGTCAGCGGGATGTTCGCCGCAAATAGCAACCCCATGAATTTATGCAGGTACCATTGAATACACTGAATACAGCCGTCGCATACAGTGGCCAGGGCTCGAACTCTTCGCACAGTCAAACACAAAACACGCTGCCGCCAATGAATCGAGGAATGAGGAACAGAAACTCTCAACTTTCAGTTCTCATGTTTTGGCCGGGATGCTGTGCACACGGTGAGAATTGCTCCACAATGATCGGTTCATTTCAAGAGATCAGCGTGTGGCTTGTTTTGGCTGGCCCTATGGCACCACCGACACCGCCCATGGAGCACCGAGCGCCAGGACGGATCCAGTTAAGAAGAGTATAAGGGGAAACCCTTCCTCTTCTCTCTTTGTTGGAGTATGGTGGAAGACTCTTTTTCCTTGTGCGACTTCCCTCGAACCCGCCCCCATATGGCCAACATCTTTATGCTCATCCAAGATGCTCCCGACCACACCCTCCGCAATGTCCTCGCCTGCCCTATGTGCCAAGGCAAGGGTGAACTATACGGCCGATTCAATGTTCGATAACCTCGGGCGAGCGTCAAGGGCGGGTAGAACACGTTCAACGCCGCCCTCCATTCTTCACATCTGCCTGAAGTGCGAGGAACCATTCACGGAGACGGCGAAGTCTTCAACCGCGTGCGATCGTCAGCCCGGTAAGCATTGACTCCAAAACCTGGTTCTGAAGCTAGGACTAAAATCCATTTGTCCTGCCGGATCCTGTAGACAACCGTAGATGGAACGAGGGGAGTTCGGCGCGGCGCCAGTACGGAGACCTATCCGTTTCCCGAGAGGATAGCGATGACGTCAAGGAGCAACAGCCCGAGGCGTTTGAATATACCTGCTGTGACAGTCTTACGGGATCACAGGCAAGGAATGAGCTTCATGAGCAAGAAGGCAGTGATATTGTATTATTGATTGTTAAGATCCTCCAAGTCCTAGGAGAAGGAGGATCTTATACGTCCCTGAGCACTGAGCATAAGCCCTTAGTGTATGGGAACTGCCGGGCAGTCCCCTCAGATGCCGCAACAAACAGCCCACAAGAGGTTAGTGAAGGGGTCTGTGAAAGGGACGATGAAAAAGACGATGAGGAGGATGATCAGAAGGATAATGAGGAGGATGACGGGGAGGGTGAGGAGGATGACGAAGAGGATAGCGAGGAGGATAGCGAGGAAGATGGTGAGGAGGATAGTGAGGAGGAGTCGGAAGGTGACGATGAAGCAGACGCTCAAAGGCTGTGGAATCAGGTTCAACGGAGGCTACTTGAGGAGCGACACCGCCGTTGGGTAAGGTCTCAGGTCATGGAATCTTTTATGGAGACTATGGAGTACTTTTGATACATGTAGGGATTCCTGTATGGGAATTCCCAACTCAGGTTGTAAAACTTACATTCATCATATCTTTCTATAGGTCGAAACCTTCGCAGCTTCATACCATCTAGTTGATAGAACCATGTTCCTTTCTGCAATGTCAACCCAATTCCTACTGCAGGGCCGAGTCAAAAGTGTGAGAAAGATCAGCAGGGACAATACTACCTCCTCAAGTTGTTTTTGTATCCCTGACTGGCGAACAGCCCCGGACAACACACTCGGAGAGTCGGAATACTAATGCCACTTCACAGATATAACTTGCGGGAAGCAGAAAGTGTCACTAGGTAACTAATACCGATCCATAATCAACTGCGTCTTCAGCGAGTCCTGAGCCACAAACCACCCTTTCCCCTGCAAAAATGTCATCAGGGCGTCGTGTTTCTGAGATGCCGTCGTCCGACTATCCGTCTTGAACGAGGCCTCAACAATGTACTCCGTCCCCGTACCCGCAGCATCCTTGATCGGCCACACCTCAATGTACAGCTTTGTGTTGTTCCAGGTCCCGACAGACCGCTTGGCCAGCACGGGCCCAAATATGCGGGCAGACGCGAGCGCCGCGGTCCCCCAGTTGTTGGAGACCCAGTCGTCAAACTTGTCTGGCGCTTCGTCGATGAGCATGTCTCGGGAATTGCTGGTACCCGGCAGGTCCATGCCAGAGTAGCCGCTGTCCGAGGCTGTCTTTTGCCGGCTGATGGACAGGGTCTGTTTCTGATACCCCCACTCGATCTGTGCCTCGTAGTTGATGTCGCTGGCGTCAAAGCCCTGGCTGTTGGCTGTGGTGAGCGCGGCGTCGATATTGCCGTTCGTCACGGGGTACCGTTTCTTGTAGGTGAGCTCGAAGTCATCCTCGTCCTCGGTTTTGCGGATGCGGAGTGACCAGCCGGCGTTGTAGATCTCCTTGTCTGATGTGTCCATAAACTGGACATTCATCTTGATCACGCTAGTGGGCATGGCGAAGGTCGAGAGGACAGTGGGAGTGAGCTTGTGGTCTGCCGGGTTGAGCACGATGGCAGGATTCATGAGAAGCTTCACTTCGTAATCGGGCGTCATATTTGCGTCGGCCATGGCTGTTGAGAGCAGGGTGAGGCCCGTGAGGGTGAGGGCGGTGATGGAGGTCATCATGGCAGCGACGATGTATGTGTGTACTGAGCGCGGCCGCTGGTGGCTGAGGCGGAACGTGGTTCAGACTGAAGAGATGCAGCTGCTTCCGGACAGATACAGCATAAGCTAAGGTACGTAGAAATATCAGATGTAGGGTAGAGAAGCTTCAAGAATGACTACAGGGTGGAACCTAACCAGAATTCCCATGACAAAGGTTTATATACATGTAGCCCTCCTAGCACTAATATATTCGGTGTCGTTAGCCCCTGAGCATCCAGCCTTCATCCACTCGACAGCATTGAAGTCTGCGTCACGGCCACTTGAAATAAGGAAAGCTATGCCACCTCCGTGTCAGCTGAAACTCCAAATCCAGCGATGCCAGTATAATGTCAACGGTCAGTAAAAAGAGTGAAGCATCAAGAGCACGTGGTATCTTTCAGTGGCTCTGGTGTCATTGATTGCTGAGGACAGAGTGGATCCCCGAGGGAAACATTAAGTGAATAGGGGGCTTTGACTGGAAGCAAACAGTACGTCTTTCCATAAGTGAACTGGCGCCGCGATGCTACATACCTACCTACATGTACATCCTCGGTGCCCAATTCAGTAACGGTTCGGTAGGTACTAACTCGAAGTTCCAGTTTGCTTCCCTTTCAATTGGACAGGCCCGTTGCGCTTTAAAACCAGAGCTGAAGACTCAAGAGTCTTAATAGGTACTAGGGACTTTTGAGAATTCGCTGCCCGATGTTTGGCAATCTAGCGGAATTTGTTGCGTTTTTGAAGAATTAACAGAGGGGAAAACCAGACTGTAAACAAGGAGTTTGGACTTGGAGTCTTGCACGACTGGAAGCTGGCTGTGTTCCTACAACTCAGGTAGTCAAACGTAAAGACTTAGTAGGTACCTACTTAGTGGAATAGTCATAAGAAACCTCGGAAAAACTCATAACGTCATAGCACTAGTATCAACGCACAAGTTTCAACAAGAAACCCCTATTCCGAGCCCCTGATCCTGGTTCCTGGGTAGTTATGCTTGGGACAGACATGAAGCTGGTATTCTAGCCCGTTGGGTCGAACTACTGGCCCTGAACGAATACGACTAAGACGGCCGAGAACCTGGCATCACGGGTCAGCAGAGTCAAACACCGCACCTGAAAGGAACCGAGGGGCTTACGCAGCGGTAGCCGTGAACACTTGCACTCTTGAGGTGTTTGCATCAGCGAGCCACTGCACACCTATGGCAAACAGAGCGGTGAAACCGCCAATGTAAAGCAGTCTCTGCAGCCTCGTCTCGGCCGTGGTCAAGATGCCTATGGCAAGCGTTGGCAGAAGGCAGGCCACGACGGTCGCCGCGCCCGAGGTGAATTGCAACATGACCGCCCTCCGGTACACTACAGGCTCAGTCTGCTTGGGAATGTTAGAGCCCGATTCTACTCGTGGTGCCTGCACGTATAGCATGATGGGAGCTCACGTTTACGCCTTCCCTCCTCTGGTTCTCCGAATCTTGTACCCCGTCGTTCCACTGGCACAGAAATTTTCTTATTTTTTTCCTTGTGTCCCTGAGTTTCGGCCGTATATGGACATGATAGAACGGGATGAAGTCGTGCGATATCCAGTAAGTAAAATTGTCCAGCTTTGGAGGCGGGTTCACTGCGACCAGGTCTCTATCGTCTCGCCTCGCCTCACGCTTCCAAAACAGAGCGAGCAACAGAGGCCGGATGTTTTGCAGAGGGGCCGGTGAGGGCACTTCTTTGGGCTTGTCCGGGTCACCCCAAGCTTTTTCCCCAGTTCCTCTGATGCGATGTATCGAGTCTTCATGCATCTTCAGCTGGAGGCAATCGATGTTGACATAGTTGGGGTGTGGCATCGCGGTTATCTGTGCATGTTGGAGGAGGGCCTCGTCTGCCAAGGGGCTGCTGTCAACAATCTCGCATGTATAAGGTAATAAAACGAATCTGGATTGCTGCCTTACTGTATTCCTTCAGCAGTTGTCGTATCTTGTATACTAGTTGACGCTGTGTGCCCACAGGGTCTGGTTCGTCACCGGCACGGCCCGCAAACAACATCTTGTCAGCTCTCTTTGCGTAAAGACTTTGCGGTTTGATGCCGGTGTAATGATCCGTCCATTCAATCTTCTTCAACTGTGACTCCAGTTCTGTGATCTCAACCTGGTAGTACAGAAGGTTCTTCACGTTCAACTCTCTGAAACGGGGAAAGGCCTCGAGCGCTGGGTTCCGTGCTAGCTCTTGAGCAAGCCCAGGCCACCCAATCTCCAGTTTCTCTCCATGGTAATCGCCCGACGGCTGAGGAGATGGCAAAATAGAGCCTGCACCTCGGGGAAGAGTAGGCGAATTCGTTACGGACGTCGCCGTGGTGCCCCTGGCACCAGAACCAGAACCCGTCAAGGGGCTGCCGGTGGAATCTGTGCACACCGTCGAAGCATCAAAGTCCGTCATTAGATTTGGGGTGGCTGGAATGTAGGGTGAAGACATGGTGACCCTTTTCTCAGAGCGTGTGAGGAATACTCTGAGCTTGTAAGTAGTTCTAGGGAAAGCAGGCGGAATGCTCGTGGGAAGCTCACGGACACGTCCCGTCTGCCATTAAATCTGTCAACCTGGAGTGGAGGTCGATCGTCCCCCTTGTTCTCCTAAGCAACCATACCTGTACGTTATCTAAAACTGCCGAAGATGCAACGCTTGAATTGCCATCATCGTGAATGGTTCGCTTTCGAAATCATGCAGGACATGGCAGCAGTGCAGCCAGGCGTGGCCCGTCACTCATTGGGCCAAGACGGAGACACAGCATCTTGTGCGTCTGCTATTCGCTCTGGGACGGGATCCAGACCATGAATGTATATGTAAGGTATGGAATCGGTTGATTCGACACCTTTGCATGTTGTTGTTGAAGATACAGATGACAAAAGTACTACGACCTATGGCCCTAAGAACCAGCGATTTTAGTATACTTTCCAGGGGGAGGTATGTATTATACGTACATATAAATACAGTCTGAAATGCTTTTGACTGACCTGGCGGCAACCGCGTCTCTTGCAAGCACCAGAGCTCAATCCTCCATGTGGTTTCGACAAGAACATGACCTGGAATGGAAGTACATGTAAGATATGAAAAGCCTGAGGGAAAAGATGTAACTACGTCTATATAGCATTGGTTGATACCAGACTTTACTCGACAGCGAACCTCAAATCCGAATGTGACAATCAGAAACTATCGCACTCCAAGCAAATGGCGGTGCCTCTTTATCTGTTCCCGTCGTCCAACGTTGATGCAAACTCGAACCAAAAGGAACCAGACAAAGCTGCAGAAGCTTAGTCTAGTCCTCGCGTCTGATAGCGCATCCGTATCCTGTAAAAGGCCAAACCCAGTACCCAAAGCCCGGCTAGTACAATCCAGATTGTAAGTAAGCACATGTAGTAATAAGTGGTCTCCAGACGTGGGCTCCAGTCAGTTATGTTGTTGCCCGCTGGTGACCAAGAAGCCATACAAATGTACACGATGTCGTAGTCGGCACTCAGGATAAGATTTGACGACGGAACAGCTCTACAATGCGTGGATATATGTTAAGGCACCTAGCCCGGTAACTATGCTTCCCTGCCTACCTACATGTACCTGATGAGGTACCTAAGGTACGTGACTTTAGGGATCAGTAATTCCGAAGCACCGATCTGCAGTGCGAGGCAATAACGTACACCAGGATGCAGTCTGGGCCTCGGAGGCTTTTTGAACGTAATCGGTCTTTGTGTATCTGCCTGTAGGCGGGCTCGAGGCCGGGTGGGACGGGTATCTTGCCCATGGAATCCAGTCATGGATGATCGGCGAGGAGGATGTCGTCTGATGTGGGAGGTTTTTTACGTTACGTAGCCTACTACCTACCTATCTAACTGCACTGTGGAAGCAACTCGAAGCCCGGGATACTACAGTGATCTGAGCCATCCTGTAGGGATCACCAATCAGCTGGAACAAGGCTGGGCGGTCAGATAGCGAGCTGTCTGACTATTCGCTGCCGTAAATGCGCGCATATATGCATGTCAGGCAAATGTTCCCCGCTCAGATGAACTAGAGGCATCATATACGATGATCTTGTCGCTGGGCTTTGGTGGAAGGGGGGTCTGCGGTGATGTGGCTACCCTCCCTACCGTATGCTTGAGTTAGCCGGTATCCGCCAAGGATGCCGCACTGCAACAATGCCTGGACTGGACAGGATCATGGTCTTGGATCCCTTCCTTACATGTAGTTAGTACCTACCTCGGTCATCTTCTATTATTCGGGCGACTTACAGTTATACCAGGTAAGTAGCTCCTAAGTACCTCATCTTCCTAATTCAACTTTTGGCTACTAAGTACAAATACAACACTAAGAAGTATGGTAAGGTACAGGTACGTATCACTGCTACCGTGTACATCGTAGTATAATACATGATTACCTGCGGCGCGGTTGCAAACCTGGGAGACAAAACTAGAAAGAATGTGGGTGGGGGAAAGGGAGGGGACCCGGGGTCCTCGGGAACCATCAGGTTCATGGCAGGACGGAACTTTGGAGACGGGCAACCTACTGTATGTCCATAGACGAGGCTCTGTTCAAGTTACACAAGGCTCTGCTCGGCGAGAATCGGAAGGTCCTGTGCAGTTTGAGGCTCTTTCGTAAGATGCTAATCAAGGGAATACTACCTTAGTATTGCGGCGGGGTATTTCATAATGCAGCACTGCAGTACCAACTGGGAATGCGTAAGCTCGGTCTATTCACCATATGACAGTAAACGTACATGTATAGTTTGGTAGTGGTTGATGAAACCGATCTAGAAGGTTGATCAATAGCTGACAATAGGTACCTAGTAGTCAACAAGCATCCTCTTACACCCCCGAGACCCCATTCCCTTATGGCAATCTGCTTAGAGGAGGGTGTATCTACGACTAGTGGTACTAGTAGATACTGTATACCTACTTTGTTATAGGCAGGCTGCAACTAACCAATGGATACTAACCTATTGTGCGATGGTGCGTTATATACCTTAGGTAT